AAAAATGCTACAGGCTCTGAAATGTGCCCAGACCTTGTAGGCCACATAAAATGACATTCAGCCCGTGGGCCTTGCATTCAAGACAGGTGCTATAGCTCCTGTCTCCCTCTAGTGGTTGCTTCAGAGGAAGGAATGGAGAACGTAGCTTGAGCATAGTCATTGTCTGACACAATGTGAAAAATGGACTCTCTAATTAAAATAAGAACAAAAATATAAAAGGGGAATAGTATTTGATTGAGATACAGTACCACATTTTTAAAATAATCATCAAGTAATAGATAAGAGAAATCAACCATATGGCATAACAAAATATTCTGTTCAGATCAACATCATGGAAGTTTTTCCTTCTCAGGTAAGTGGTTTATAGTCTATAGAATGGATTGGACACCAGTATGAAGCCCCAAACATAGTTGAGTATTGTTGACATGCTGTTGGTTTTATCTGTTCCAAGGGTGATCTTGGGACAGATAAAAAACTTAGGAAAATACAGCAGCTGAAATTCCATGAAGATCTCATCTAATCTTGGAAGCTATTTGTGGCCAGACTTGTTTAGTGCTAGGATGGGAGACCACCCACAAATACCAGGTGCTGTCAGCTATATTTTAGCAGAACAAACTGGAAAATCAATTCACTTGAGTCGTCATATGTTGGCAGCTGACCTAAAGGTGTTTGCACACACACACACACACACACACACACACACAACCACACATGCACATTTAGAGGAGAAAGTGGTGTAGTGATGAATGACTCCAATTAACCGCATACAGAAGGAATAAATGCATCTACATTTAATAACCTTAGCAAGAGATATAAAAAGGTAAAATGTCTAGATAACCCAAAGAGATTGTGCTCTAGTACAGTTGATCATGGAACAACTGAAAGGGAGGCAATGCTGGACAATCCTAAGTGGCATCAAGGGACTTATGTGAGAAATGGATATTGTTGAACCAGCTGGAGACAGGGACAACACATGATAGTCATTTTGACATAAAATGACTATCTGTAAATTTTTGTGGTTTTTCAGCTGAAGTTTATTATTTTTATAGAAATACCCTTTCTGTTAAATATAACCACAAACACATTTTACCCATTCTCTATATATGCCTACAAGTCTAAACCCTATGGTAGTTTTAATACAAAAGCTCTCTGGTTATTATTACCCAGTTGTAATAAAACTACAAATCACAAGGTTACATCTGTGTGTGCTACAAGCACATGCTCTTATTTTGGTTGTTGCTGGGATTTATATTAATAATTGCCAATGCTGATTTTGTGCAATATTCTGGTTTTTAGCTGCAAGATTGTTGCATGGTCTGATACAGCAGGAGGTCCAAGGAGGGGAGATGATGCATTGAAACCTCTGGGGGGTGGGGGGTGGAACAGTTTTGTTTGGGGAAAAAGCTGACTAAGAAGGGATAGAAATTTGTGAATGTATCTGTACTAAACAGAAAATGGACAACATTTTTTCTCTCTCTTATAGTATCAGTGTCTGTGTCATTTACTCAAGTTGAGGAGTACCTGTTTATGGATGGAGAGGAATACATCTTTGCAGATCACTTATTTGTTTACACAGGATTCAGTGATAGCTTCCTATCTGGATGACTTTAATGAATGGATGAGGCAAATTCATGATAAATGAAGCTATTAATGATTACTAGTCATGATAGGTGTAGATGAAATCCAGTACTGTAGCAAGGATGCCTTTTTATATCTCTTGCTAAGGCATAAATGGTGAATGTTTCTGCATTCATGACCTGCTGTGAGCTCCTATTGTAAGAAGAGAGTACTGGACAAGAAAAGGGATTGTTCTCCTTCAGTTTACCTTTTACTAAGTCGTTATGCGTTTGTAACATGTTTCGAATCATTAGTGTGCAGTCCTTGGAACCAGAAGTAAGTATGCCATTAAAATGCTGTACAGAAGTGTTTCAAAGGCTGTTTACACCACTTATAGTATGTGAACCACTTTCCAGTGTATTTGGTGTACAACACATTCTTGTAGAACTGCACAACAGCTTTTGGCAGTGCCCTTCTGACAGTTACCTTTGTTTCATGAACAGGTTTCCGAAGTATTAGCAGACATTGGCAGCGTGCCTTCAAGACTGCACAGTGAGACATTTTCCTCCGCATCTTCAACAGCCAGCAGCATGAGGTTTGAAATTCCTGAGCAACGTGCGGCATCAGGTATGGGGTGTTGTGTTGTAGAAGGCGACTTTTCTTCCCACTAGTATAATAATCTCTCACCTAAACTCTGTTTGATGCCAGTGCAAAATCAATTCCTGTATTTTCAACTATAATGTGCTGCCTCATCAATGTGACCATTATTTGAACAAGTTTTGGGCTATTCAGATAATTTAAGTAATGGAAATACGGATTAAATGTCATTCTGTTTTTACTAATAATGCCACGTATAGAGGAAAACAAAATATAAAAGTATATTTTATAAAGGAATCTGGGTAATGAATGTGGCAATTTCCTTAATTGTACTTGTAAAACACATTTCAAGTCCACTTGGGTCAAAGGCGACCACATGAAGTTTCAGGAACAGCAGTCAATCTAAAGGAAATACATCATAATCAAAACAGGAGCCTGTGTGCTTTAGTGCTTTGCGTGTAGCACTAGGGTTCAGAAGACAAACATTCAATCTCCACTCAGCTCTGGAAACCTATGCATTTACCTTGGGAGATGTTACATTCTCACAGCCTTAGAGGAAAACAGTAATAAATCTCTTCTGTAGACATCTTGCCAAGAAAACTCTATGGTAGGTTTTGGCATCGGCCAGAGTCAACTTGAAGGCACATGGCAGTAGTAAAAAAATATGGTAAAAGAGGAGAACTAAAATCCAAATTGAAAAGAATAAAATGGTAATAAAGAAATGAAATAGAGGAATTCTTCTTCCCATCATATATGGTCTGTTTTATTCTATAAAATATATACTGTATTCTTCTTTTCTATGCCTTGAACAATTCAGTTCATGGTAAATATCAAGTAAATACAAAAATGCATCAGCACATTTGAAAACTATTACAGAATACATTAACATGTTCATATAAATAAACACAAGATTGGGTATATAAACCACTGCATAAATCACCATTGTAATTAAATATAATGATTCACCAACTGTTCACATACGGATAAAATGTAATTTAAGACAAATGGAAATTAAACATTTCTGGCAAAAGAGGAAAACCTGCAAATGCTGCTCTTGCTACACTGTAGTGGGCTACAATAATAGTTCAGCTTAAAACAACTTGGAGTGATAAAGATGGCCTCTTCCCATCAAGGAAAATGCAGCAGAATGTGATCCTTCATCTTTATTCTAGATTTATCATTTGAAGAATAGGGTATCTTTTAAAAAATGTGTTCAGAAAAAAACTAACACAAATCCACAAACACATATAAAGCAAGAATGCAAACTATTGGACAAAATACGGAGACAAGAAAGTAGAAATATATGTTCCTAATATAAAATACACTATTGTTACAACCATTAAACATCAACTGCAAACAAATCTAAAATACCTAATCTAAGGGCTTTTCATTCTCTTCCTGGAAGTTTTCATTTTCCACATCTATTAAAAGAAGAAAAACTGTCAATACTTCCCTTCCCCTTTTATTCTTTATTCTTTGAATTCCATGCATTCCATGATTTTATGGTGTTATAAGAAATAAAAATCCCTTTGATAAGTTTCTTCCACGAACTGAAAACACTCATTGTTGCCTTGAGTTTTCTCTGATGCCATCCAACTCTACTCCAAAAACAGGTGCTACAGTATCAGTTGCTGTTCCTTCCTATGCTGGATCTGCTTTTCAGCCTTCATCTCCACAGTTTGGTTCTTTTAGTCCCATGGAAGACCATCGTGATGAAGATAGGTTGCATTTTGCTGACAGAGAGCTTGGTGGCGAAGGAGCAGAGGATGAAACCCAGCTGGTTGTGCTGGACCCAGAACATGTAAGGAAAACGCAACATTTAGGGAAACTGTGATGCAAACACATATACACAAAATGAAAAGCAAATAGAGCTATCAATTACCAGCTAATGCAGATATACTGTACATACTCAAGTATAAGCCTAGTTTTTCAGCCCCTTTTTTAGGCTGAAAAAGACCCCCTCAGCTTATTCTCGAGTTAAGGTTATTTATTATTTTAGTCTGTTATTAGTATTATTTTTATTACATTTATTATTTTACTCTATTATTATTATTATTATTATTATTATTACATTTACATTATTTTACTCTATTTTTATTTTATTACATTTATTATTTTACTTTATTTTTTATTATTACATTTATCATTTTACTCTATTTTTATTATTACATGTATTATTTTACTCTCTTTCTTATTCTTAGAAGGCTACTTAAGCACATTTGCATTGAAGAAAGTTTTTTATTTTGAAATTTACCAATAGCTGCTGCATTTCCCACTCTTGCCTTAAACTCAAGTCAATCCGTTTTCACAGTTTTTGGTAAAATTAGGTGCCTCGGCTTATATTCGTGTCGGCTTATACTCGAGTTTATATGGTACTCATATTTTTATAGTAAGTGGTGGCGGGTGGGTAATATTGGTGTTTTCTTTAACAGCACATTATTCAAATTGGGTGTGTTAGATTTCAGGGAGAGTTTGACTTACAAGATTTCATGGTATAAGCAATGGAAAGAGAATAAGATCATGGCTGAAAAGAGCAAACAACTGGTATGAGTAGATTTATCCCATATTGATAAGTCCAAGATGTCAGTTATTACAACATAGCTCCATTTTCCTGGATGAATTCTCCGCTTCTAAGATGACTTTGTATAGCCCTGCCAGCATGACGAATGTCTCGGTTTTTTTTATTTTGAGCAGCTCATGTTTTAATTTGACTCTCTGAAATTACAGGAATTCCTGAGATATAAATATTTTAGGGAATGCTCATTCTTTACCAAAATCACAGGAGTAAATCAATTGTTAGTAGTACCAATTAGAATAGACCGCTGAATAAATGAGATTAATTAAATTAACACTTATATGTCCCATTGATTCATTAGGCCTATTTTAATTGTGAACTTACAATTAGTTCTCTCCCTAATATCTCCACACTTCGTACTGCTTGATTTACTAGTCTCCCAATTGTCATACTAGATTGCTTTTCTCCCCAAGACCTGCTTCTCTTTCTCACTTGTGTTCCATCGTGGCCCAGTCTTGCCTATATTTCTGCTTCCTCCCCTTTCTGTTTTCCTTTCCCCCCTCTTATTCCCACTGGTTAAATCATTCTAAATCTCCATGTGAAATGATCCAGACAGTGAAACCCTAAGCATGTCTATTCTTTAAATACTGTTGTGTTGAATGAGGCTTACTCCCAGATAAGTGTATGTAGGATTCCAGCCAAACACCTTATTTCCTTCTTTCAGCTACTTTTACTATGCATTCTCCCATTTTTGGTGTTTCTTCTTGTTTCCTCATCTGTGCATACACAATTCTTGCTGCAGTTGTCATCAGAATGTAAAGTCTGTCATATGTCTTCAAAAATGATCTCTCTGTTTTGCCTAGTAGGAATGCCTCTGAATGCATGGGTGTTTTTAGTTTTAATACATTTTCTATAGTTTTATAGATATCAATCCAAAATATTTTTGCCTTTTTGCAGGAAAACTACATATGAAAAAATGATCTCTTTGCTTGTTTACATTTTCAACAGATTTTTTTCAATTGTGGCTGCATTTTTGCAGGTGTCGTGTAATATTGATAGAACATATTGTAAAGGTTTTCCAACAATGAGTAATTTCTCAATATTTTTTTTTTTACTTTCCAGAGGCATTCCTACATGGTCCATTTTAGCATACATTCTTTGATATATTCATCTTCCATGTATAATTTTAGCAGCAGGGCATAAATTTTGGATAGCTCTTTATTTCTTATTTTGTTGAAATTGGTATTTTCTTCCTTAGATCCTATGTGTACGTCCTTTTAATATTGATTGTTTATTTGTGTAAATTCAAACCAGTTCACTCTGTAGCCTTGTTGGTTTATTTCCATCCTTGTTTTTAGTTAGAGATTGCCTTGTGGTCTTCTTGAGTAAATCTGCATAGGTTAGCTATCTTTCTGTTACCCTTGGCTTCCTAAATCAAAGTCCATTGTGGTATTTTTGTAATAAAATTTTCTTTTGTGCTTTTTCCAAGTTCTCCTATTTTCCTAATTGGGTGTTTATTAAAGTTTGGGTCTTCTGACACTTTTCTATCAATTAGGTATGCATGCAAGCCAAATTTTAAATCTGCTCCTTCAAGAACTATGAGGCTTTGATTATCAAGATGAATCCATTCTTTAAACCCATTCAATATAGCTGCTTCTTGGTATAGTTTTAAGTTTGGGAGGGCAAGTCCTCCTCTTTATTTAGTATTTTGTAATTTTTTCACTTTTATTTGTTTTTATTCTAACCACAGGGATTATTGAAGGACAGATGTTGCTTCCTCAAGTAATACAATGGTATTAATGTGGTCTTATTTCTTTCCTTAGCCATTGATGAAAAGATTCCAAAGTGCTCTAAAGGCCTACCTCAGTAAACAGATAGGAAAACTGACTGATGAGCTTCGTGAACTGGTAGGGTGTCTTTCTTCGGATCTGCTCTCTGTTCTTTTCTATTTGTATTGGTGTGTGGTGGCTCATTTCCTCCATTTTGTATCTGCAGACAGCATCCATAAAGCATGGGAAGGGGGAGAGAGAGAATCTTGGAGTGATCTTATATGGCGTCCAGCAACAACTGGCCAGGCTGCAAATGGAACTGGAGAAGAACCACAACTGCCATTCCCAGATTGCCATGGCACGCCGGCAACTGGAGGAAGAGTTGCATGATCTCAGGAAGACATACAAGGCAGCATGTGAAAACACTGAGGATGAACGCAAAAGAGGTGATCTGTCCCTGAACCTCTAGGATTTTCCTCATTATTTTCATATTGTTTGGAAAGGGTGGCTAAATGAACCATTATGAGAAAAAAAAGCAGACTGTGAACACGAGTCAAGACTCTTTAAAAGCTAAGACCTTAATTATAGAAATATCACTAGGTCATATATATGCACATTTATTGATACTCATGATATTACCATATTTTAATTTTGTTGCAGTGTGTTTGTGGTTACTGTGTTTTGTGGAACCAAGGAATGAGTAGCTAACAGGAAAACTACCCAGATATGTGTGCATATTTCTGCAGTCACATTCTATAAATGCAAAAAATATTAGACTCACAATTCAGTATCACAAGGATGTCAATTTTTATTTTACATCAGCATATGTTTAACCTTATAACTGTGAAGACAATAGAATCCATGCTACTAGCCTCTGAAGTAGGTTGCTTTGTATAAAGCAGGTTGTTGTGGGAGGAATTCATAATTTCTCTGTCAGCTGGCTATATTTCTGTGAAAGTGACGGAGAAAAGAGCTTCCCTTCTTCTGGAACCTTCATGGAAATTAAGCAGAATCGAGAGATCCATCCCTGCTTCTGCCAACTTACTCACTTGCTGCATGGAATGCCTTGCCACCTATAACTACCTGCTGAACTCTTAAATACATGATTGGTTCATGGAAAAAAGATTGTGCATTGTACAATGTTCCTCATTCCTGCTTAACATTGTGAATATTTACCCAATTGAAATAATGCAACATTGGAACATGTATGTCTGTGATTAATTTAAAGGACATACTAAGTTTTCTGAGTGAAGACAAGTTTATATTGGCATAGATTAGGGTATTTTTAGTATCGGATATGATCCAATATGTGAATCACGATGCCTCCTCATTGTAGTTTTGGCACAAACTGTTGAAATACGTTTTCCCTGTTGGTTTTCTCAGTTTCAGCTATGCAGACAGAGATAGAAAAGCTGTCCCTGCGCCTGTTTTACATGCAGAACATGGACAAAGATGTCCGTGATGATATGGCCGTGATGAAAAGAATAGTGAATAAGACTGATATGGAAAGAATGCATGCAGAAATCGAAAAACAAAAACAGGTACCTAGCAATAGTGGATCTTAGTGCTGTGAATGATCCTCTCTGTTTCTCACCAGATCTCCTTCCTCAAGAATCTCTGACAAGAAAGATTGCCACTCAGTACTTGCCAGAACTCATCTTCTGTTGACTCCTTTCTCACTTCCCACTCCTGTCATTTTGTTCCTTACTCTGAGAACAGCTCCAGCAATAAAATACCTCCTCTAGGAATTCAGAATGACTATCATTTCAAATGAAACAGGCTCCTTTGTTAGGCAGAGAACATTTAATTTTTCAAGAAGTCTCTTACTGCTACAGCTGGGAAAACCTTTGATTACTTTATTGGAAACACTCAGCCAATTATAGCCCAAAATAATAAGATTTACTTTTATTGGAGGTAGAAACCTCATAAAATGAAGGCCTAGTTCTTAGTTTCCTATTTTTTAGGATTCTTCTGCTATGGCTAAATTTGATACCTTTAAATCCAAGAAATATATTCAGTGGTAGCCATTTTTGGCCATGCATCAAAATAAAATACAAAATCCACAAAACAGCAACATCTTTATTGACCAGTTAAAATGCACAAAACACATTATGCAAGCTTTCAACATTCCATTGGCTTCCACAGCAGGCAAAAGATGATCAGAATCATACAGGAGGTCCCATAAGGAACAGCTGAGGGACCTGGGTATGTTTCGCTTGGAGAAGAGGAGGCTGAGAAGGGGCACGATAGTCATGTTTAAATATTTGAAAGGATCTCACATTGGGGAGGGGGCAAACATTTTTTTCCTGTTGCTCTGGAGACTAGGACACAATGGAGCAATGAATTCAGATTCACCTAAATATTAGGAAGAGCTTCCTGAAGGTTAGATCTATTCAACAGTAAAGTAGATTACCCTGGAGTGTAGTGGAATCTCCTTCTCTGCAGGTTTTTAAGTAGAGGCCAGATGGCCATCTGCCAGGGGTGCTTTGATTGTGTGTTCCTGCATGGCAGAATGGGATCGGACTGGGTGGCCACTGTGGTCTATCTGTGATTCTGTGAGTCTATGGGGAAATGAGCTACAAAAGAAGAAAACAGTTAGATGCTTGATGCTGAAGGTGGTAATAATCATCTATTGACACAGAAGTGTGAGGAAATTAACACTTTTGATGTGGTTATTCTCACATTGTCTGGAAAGAGTGGAAAAAAGCAGGGGGGAAACTGGTCCAATTATCATTCATGTTTTTTCCTAATGTCTTAGGACCTTCATGTAGATCGCTTAACAAAGAAAGTCAATGAGTTGGAGGAGCAGATAGCTCTCTATGAAGCGCAATACATGGCACAATCTGAAGACACAAACATTACACGGAAAGAAGTGGCAGAGGTAAGAGATCAGGCCATTTCCTGGTTTTTTTGTGAAAAAGTAAGTCTATAACATTCTTCTAAAATTCTCTGTGCATACTGGTTTTATCAGCTTAACTATCCTGACTTATTTGCTCATATCTGTTTTTCTCTTTCTTACAAAGAGGCCAGGGCAACTAAGAATCTATGTAAAAAGCAATACCACATGCAAATAGCATTCAAATCATAATGCTAAAAACACAAATGTGTAATAAAATACATTAAATTATCAACAAATATCTCCTGAACAGTTGAAACAGTTTCCTCCAAAAATCTTGTTAATGAATTTTCAAATGGCATTTTAAATATACAGACACAGAATATGGTGTATAGTATTCTTTTATTTTATCTGTTTAGAGCTTTTTCCTTGGAAGCTGGCATCTAGGTAACAATCCTCTACATGTAGTCATCTGGAAATACCTTCCACTGATTAATTCCAAATAGATGCATATCAAAGTGCATGCCAAATCACTGGGACATAGCAATTTTAGAAATTGGCTATCAAATTATATACACAGTTCTCAATTTTTAATTGAACTGATATACGTACTTGTCATTTTAGTAAAATGTGTGCTTGTACAAAGCATATCAATGCATCAAAGGCCATGATACTTGGAGGAAGCTACTTGTCTAGAGGTATGTAGTAAAACTTTGAAAGCAATATTTTAAACTGAAAAATAATGTGGAGTAGCAGAGTAAAAGAATTTGAGAACAGAGTTGCCCTGTTTTCACTATCTATTGGCATGCGTCGTGTAATTCAGTCTCCTCCATATAGCAACAGCCAGTGCCACACTTTTAAATTCCCTCGGGCTTTTGTTACATGTTCCCACTTTTCGGTATGGCTGACTGTTTTTGCAATATTTTCATTCCACCATATGTGAAATAAGCAAAAAATAATAATAATCAGAAAACAAAAGTTAAGAATCAGGATATGCAATACTGCTACTGTACTGCATAAGAACGGATAGGATGTAGTATGATCGAAAAGGGCCTGGAATATCATTGCCCCACTTGGGTGTAATATTTCACTACTCTGTTTTTCCAGGCAATTACAGAGATACAAGCTATTCAGTTGGAAAAAAAGCAGCTCTTGCGTAACTGGGCTGGGAGCTTGACTGGGATGAAGCACCGAGATGAAGCCTATGCTGCTATGCAAGCAGCTTTGCTGTAAGTGGTTTATATAGGTAGAGAGTGTTTTGGAGGTTGCTCTTGCTGGTGAGTTAGATAAAGGGATTTATAATTTATGAAGGCATTCCAAACATATCTTCCCCATTTGAAGAAAATGAAATACAAAATGATTATCAGAAAATCAGAACTATTTTTTTGTTTTTGTTTTTTCCCCTTAGGGTTGGTCCTGTTGTGTGTTCATATGTATATAAATGTATATACATGTGGAAATATATACATATGTGTATGTATGGATTCAACATATATATATATATATATATATATATATATATATATATATATATGGATTTATATTTCTCACTTTATTGTTGATGTTTGCCTATATGTATGTCATGTCCAGTCTTTCACTAATAAAAATGAATTGGGAAAAAAGAAAATCAGAACTGTTACTGGGAATAAGATCCCTCAAATAGAATACCCCTTCAGACTTGACACAGCTGTCCTATAGCCTTATCTAACAATTAAACAACAACAACAACACTTTATTTATATTCCACCCTATTTCCCCAAGGGAACTCCGGGTTAATTATTTTTCTCTTTCTCCTTCAGAGAATCCAGACACAAGCTCAAGGCATTGGAGATTGAAATTGAAGTCTACAAGAAGTCCATCACCAAGGAGGAAGAGAGAAACGAGCTCTTGGCTTCTCTTTTAAACCGTGCAGAGAATGATGGCAACACAAGCAGGAAGCTGATATCCCAATGCATGGCTAAACAGGATGCCATGAAAGTGGAGTTTGGGACTTACACCCGTGCCCTTCAGGAGACAGAGCAAGCTCTCATTCGGGCCAATATGGTGAGACTCCCTCAGTGGTTCCACCATGGTTTTTCCATCGACTTCTAGTTAGTAGGGCTTCCCCCTCCTCCAACAGGAGACCTGTTTACAACTTTTTATGCTTTTTCTTCTTTCCAGGATCAAGCTTCCCGTACGAAGGAGTTGGCAATTCTTCGAAAAGAGATCGAGAAGGGATCGGAAACCAAGCAAGAACTTGAGAATGAGATCATATCCAAGCTGCAGGATCAGCTGATGTCTAACAAAGCAGCAAGATATTATCTACAACTAGGTGTTAAGCTTCAGAACCAACTGATGACTTTGGTATGTATAACATCTACAGCTGTGGGGATGATAGAAATGAGGTTGAACGGACATTGATAAGACTGTGTATATTTTTGCATTGAGTATTGGTTCTAAAAAAGATTAAAAAGACTACTTAGTATCTTAGTTCAATATGCGTTTTGGAAACCCTAGGATCAATCTGAAAACATGAACAAACACTATTAGGCACTTATTAAAGACACAAAATAATTCCATCATTTCAGGGCCATGCCAAGTTTGCCTTTGCATTCATGATGTTTGATTAAATAGACACACCACTGTAAGGATAGTGTTCATTTTGCTCTTTCTTGAAGAACGAAGGGAATATGTACCACGTGGAAATTGATAGCAAATACTGCACTGTATGTATAATTGTGATTAGGATCTTAGTTTTCTTATTATACACAAACTTAAAAGCGTTTATTACACAGGAAAAATATTCCACTGGCAATAATCTCAATTTAATATTTAACTTTTGACTGCCACTCAGATGATGTTCAAGGGAATCTAGTTTTTTAGGGAGGTAAGGACAAACAATTGATGCAAAGGAAAAAACAGTCAGAAAAAATATGCTTTTTTATAATACAGTTCTTGTTTTGCATGACTTATTCAATACATCCAAGCACTCCTAATAAATCCTCTCCTTATTATCCCTAGGACATACAGCTCACCAAGATTGAGAATGACACAGCCCAAACTGAGCTGAATATCACAAACACTAACTGCAAGCTGAATATGCTTGAGAAAACCCTGTCGGATATAGACAGCGAAATGGACAACCTCAACAAACAAATCAGTCATAGTGAGGCTGAAATTGCTAAGCGTAACCTCATGATTGGACGCAAACAAGGGGTGATCAACCTGTACAACAAGAAATTGGAAATGCTGATTTCTCAGCTTGGAGTATGTATTTATTTATTCATGTGTTTATTATGTTATTACTTACTTCATTTTTATCCCACCTTTCTCCTAGTTTAAGAACTCAAGACAGCCTACAGCAAACACAACTAAAAACAGAGCAAATGCATTCAAATATGTATATAATAATGCAAAAACAATTAAATATTTTGTGTCATGAAACATAAAAACATTAAAATACAATGCTATATAAACATTATTAAAATTACATTGAAACCTTTTAAAATATTTGCATTATGACTTTAACCTTTCCTGGAATCTACCAGCTCCCTCCTACCTTTGAAACTTGACAAAACTAGTTTTTTATTTTGAATTTTCAGAGGAATTTTAAAAGTGATTTGGATCATTATTGGGAGTTCAGAACAAAATCCACTGCTCCTGTGGACTTCTTATATTCTGAAATCCAGTCAAAATCTCTTAATTATTTGAAGGCTTCATCTTAGTCTAAGGATAGGAAATGTGTGACTGTTCATATGCTGCCATTGCTGTGCAAATGAACACTGCAGTCTGACATCATTGTGGGTGCCACAATGGTTTAGTCTTTCCTTAGAAAGCTACGAACCCTGCAAAGTTATCCAGTAGTGAGTGAAAGTAAAAAATATATCTTAGTTTTTATTTCTGAATAGTGATGTCAAAATGAGGGAGGATCCATTGCTAAGACTAATCACTGCAGGAGCCCCATTAATCCAGTCCATACCACTGCCAGTACCTTTGAGTAAAAAAAAAAAAAGTCTTACAAGAAAATAATGCCCTAAATATGAAGAACTAATGAAAAGTAGGTTTAAAAATTCAAAAGTATCCGGAAAGTCTGGCTAAAAGTTGCAAGGTTAACCCCATGATATTCATGACTGTGAGGATATTTGAACTCAAGTCTTCCCACACTTAGGCCCCATCTGCACTGTCATATAATGCAGTTTCAGGATGCAGATTAACTGCATTGAACTCATATAATCCATATAATATAACCCAGTCAGCACTGATCAGTATAATGCAGTTCAAACTGCATTATATGCCTGTGCAGATACAGCCCGAGTCTAGTCAGGCATCTGCCACTGTTCCGCTGTTTTGAATTCAAATGCTTGTAAACCCTAGCCATCATGAACAGTGGTCAAGGACAATGAGTTACCATCTGAAGATATACAGCCCACTAGATTGGCCAATTCTACTTAATTAGTACAACACACTTGTCTTTTTGCTATTATATTACAGAACGAGTTTTAGATACTATCCCACATATCTTCTCTAAATATATTGAGTTTCATGTGTTTTTCATTTTATAGCAAACAGCTATAAAATGTAAGTAATGGGAAATCTATAAAAGTAACGTCAATTGATCAAAGTGTGTAGATTGCTTGGCTGATATCATACTACCTTTGTTCTTATTATACACACTACTTATTATACATATGCACTAATATACATATGTGTGTGGCATAGCAAATTGTAACTGCCTTAAATATCTAAGTTAGGGTGAACCAGCAATGATATATAGGCTGGATCTGCACTGCCATATAATGCAGATTGAAACTGTATATACCTATATAGTCGGTATAGACCTATATAATGTAGTTCAATGCAGTTAAATTGCATTATATGAATCTGCACTGATCATATGATGCAGTTCTAAATTGGATTATATGGCAGTGTACATCCAGCCTATATCTCCTTCTATTGCTCCATACTCCTTTTTGACATTAATTGCCAGATATTTTACAGTCCTGACAGAAAATAAGGTTAAGAAGTGGGACACTGCCTAAAAAATTTTTTTTGCTTAGTTTTTCCCAAGTTGCTAACACTTATTCTGTTTTATCAGACTGTGTAATAAGTGTACACGAGAAACAAATGGGAAAGTTTTTCTTGATGTAGAGTTGAAATTCTGCTGCATTCACAATGCTTCTTGGCCATCAGGAAGGAATTCTTGTGCTTGCATTGAGTATTTTAGTCATAATGAAAAATAAGAAATTTCTGCACATGTGGATACTGTTCACTATCTTATTTTTTAATAAACATTTACTCCACTTTTCTGATTCTAATGCTGTCCCCATCTCTTCCCCCCCCTTGTTAATAATAGTTTCATGCACAAAAATGAATAAAATCAGTGATAACAAATTAAGTGGATAAAATCAGAGCTAATTAAAATATTAATATTAGCTCAAGAATTTTCAGATTCACAGATATTATTTGATCATCCTTAGACTACACACTGTTTCAAAACAAAACAAAAGATCCAGAAACTGTGAGCAATGCAACTGTGTTCTTCTGGTGCCTCTGTGCTGAACATATAGCTATATAATGCCAATATGTTGCAAATGAAACAGAATCATTGTGATTGACTCTAGGGACAAGAACTGGGGCCCTTGGAAATTGAAATCAAGAAACTCACTAAACTTATAGATGATAGTGAGTTGGAGGTGGAGAAGTTACAGAGAGAGTGGTTGATTCAGCAGAAAGAGTTAGTAAAACTTACCCAAGAGCGAGATGGGCAGCTGTCTTCCTTGGATATGTTAAAGAAAGAGATCACAATCAAGGAGCAAAAGAAAGTCCGCATAGAAAGTAAGTGTGATGCTTATTGGGAAAGTGGTAATAAGTTAAGGCACCCCAGCTTTGAATAATTTTCAGGTTTTTTTGAAAACGGTCAGACAGACCAAGGGGTATAATCATGTCTATGACTGCAAGCCAATGATTACTAATTACAGAACTAGTGTGGAGGACGGAGGAGGCATACATCTCTGTCATAGTGATGAGGTCTTACAACAAAGATCTTTCTAAGGACCTATAAATGAAAAATAGCAGTTTTGGTGGGTGATAATTGCCTTTGGAGTCTCAATAGCAGTTGGCAATTGTATGCTTCTTCTCTCAGATGGTTATGTATGATGTGATGACGTTCAAATCTTTTTAAGCAATCAGTTCTTCTACAAATCTTGCAGCATCAGGTTGTGTATTTACTATCATCATTAGCTGAACACACAGTACAATAGTTCATTCTCTGATGTTAGAAGATATTCCTAGATGCAGAAACCTGGTTTAATTTTTTTTATTTCAAGAGAACAATAATAATAACAATAATGCTCAGCATCATTTTGGAAGAAAAATCTTATGTTGTTTTATTTGTTATACACCTCTCCTCATGGTTTCAGGTGTGGTACAACATCATGCTACTATTAATAATAATAATAATAATAATAATAATAATAATAATAATAAACTTTATTTATATCCTGCCCCCTCTCCAACAGGACTCAGGGCAACTTACAGAAAATAAGTCACAATACAAGACCAAAACAAAAAATAGAACATAGTACATAAGAAACAATATAAAAACATAGCAACCTAAAAATAACGATGTCAATAAAATACAGAATTTAAAATTGTTGCTGGATTATAATGTACATCAGGGCAAAACCAGTTCCAACCACTGCAACATCATGAAAAATTATAATTAATCATTTCTGAATGCCTGCTTCCATATCCATTTTTTCAGTTCTTTCCTAAAAATGACTAGAGTCCATAGTTAAAATATATAGCTAAAACAAAGGTCCATAAAAATACATATCTTAAAAACATAGAAGAAAACAGCAAAATTGATAAAATGTAAACTTAAAATTATAATTTGGAGTGTTAAGATAGAAAAATGTACAGAGCACTGCTTAAAGGACAATTTTTTCTTCAGATCCCACCAATCTCTAAAGAGAATGGTGTTTAAAGTTTTAGATTTTTAATTTCCATTGTATACAATGGTTTTGCCAGAAAAAATGAAGACGGGATATATGGTGTCTTCTCATCCACTGATATGGCACATCTGCCAGTGCAGCAGCATGGGCTTAGCGACATTGCCAGGATGCTGGTAACACAGGCATCTATCTGTGTATGCAGACTCCCCCACCAGCTTCTCCTCTTGCACAACTGGCCCAGGACTTCAAAACATTGTGAGCTGTTGACTGTTTCTTGCCAGATGAAATTCAGCAGGAAAAAAATGAGCTGAAGGACATTGAACGCCACATGAAGAACATGGCTAATGATTTGGTCAAGCTGCATTTGTTGATCAACAAAAACAAAGAGGATTCTGAAGAACTGCAGCAAGGAAACACCTTAATGGAGAATGAGTTTGTGCGCTCTCTCAAGGTATTCTCCATCCTTTCAGACACATTTTCCAGGAATAATCAGGATGAGGTCTTGTTGTTCTGATTTGTTCAACTATCCCAGTAGCTACAGTAGTTTGCAGACCTTTTGTGGCAGGGACAGTAGGGGCAACCAATCTAGATTTTATACGTGGAGGGTGGCACACATTTATTGGTGTGAAGGACCCTGAAGAAAAGTTTATCAAGGGCCCTGCTAACATGATATAAAAAGTCAAGCGATTATTCTCCATATTGAGCCCCCTTTTTGGTCCAAGTGAAATACAGATCCTAAAAAACATCCTTCTGCCTTTAGGCCTCAGAAAAAGAATCAATTCAGATGCAAGAAAAGCTGGACCGTCTACAGGAAGAAAAGGAGAGACTCCTCAACAGCCTAGTGGAGGCAGAGTGAGTTCTGTTTTTTTTACAGAGCATTTGCATTCTTGTACAGTACAGCTGCAACTGTGTGTGTGTGTCTCCCTCTATTTAGAGGGTTGTGGTGTCAAATAATCATTTACGCTCACAATTATCAGATGTCTACATATTGTGTCCTTTAGTCCCAGAACCAATTGTTCTGGGACTAAAGGACACAACGAAATCAGTCCCCAACAAAATCACATCAGCCCCTTATCTCCTGAATTTCAGGAAAAAAACTGAAGACGTGGCTTTGGTACCAAGCTTTTGACAAGTAATCAGAGCAGTGCAATAAGTGACCAAGAATCAATGTGATTGACAAATGGAATGGCCCTGGACTATGTTTTGGATGGTGTGATGTTAATTGATGTTTTTAATAATTGATATTTTAATTGTTTGTTTTAATTGTAATTGTTTATTTGAAATTTGTGTATGGCATTGAATTGTTGCCTGTTGTAAGGCTGTCTTGAGTCCCCTCTGGGGTGAGAAAGGGTTTTTTTTAAATAGGGTAAATAAATAAATATTTGTTTTCTGTGTTCTACAAGTCTTTCTTGGGACTTTCTATTGAGAGAAGATAACATGTTCATGCCTTTCAAACTATAGTAATTTGTTGCTGAAATAACCCAGTCCTATCTACCAGCACCTCTGTGGCAAATCGTTGGTTTTTTTTAAAGTCAGTGATTGATTTTATGTGGAATATGGTTTGTTGACTATCTCAGGATATATTGGTTGTTCACTTCCCGACAACACCTCCATTTTTTGTGACATTTCAAAATTAATTTATATCACTTGTAACAACACAGAGTGAACAGATATGTTATAACCTCTTGTTGTGTGTGATACAGGTGTCAGATGATGCAGTGGGAGAAAAAGATACAGTTGGCCAAAGAAATGCGTGCCGCAGTGGACTCTGAGACTGGTCAGGGCGAGATCAGAGCCATGAAAACAGAGATTCATAGGATGCAGGTAATGTAGAAAGTGTTGTGTAGATTAGGGCTTAAACTTTTCCCACTTGTGCGACTGCTGTCTCACCAAGACATTTCCTCGTGATTCCTTTCTGCCCAAGAAAAAAATACTAACTCTGGGTTATATAAAGTATATAAAATAGATATAAAAACCAAATATTTCCTGGTTACAAATCAGCATTTGAAAATCTTACTGAACAGGTTGTTTTTCCTTTTTATGAAGTACAGCTGAAGCATTTTCTGCGGAGTCCACCGTGAACACTGCACAGATTTGTGCTGATAGATTTGTGTCTGTCCAAAGCACCAAGCACCACTAGCCTAAAGCACAGTCTGATGATTTTTCAGCACTGGCAACACTCTATTTTGGCTCATTTCCTGTTCCATTGATATATCTACCATTCTTGATGTCTATAGGAGAGAAGGTTGCGTATAGGAAATACATTGGACTTGGGTGGATTTTGTATCATGTAGTTTCAAAGCCATTAACAAGTATAAACAAGGAAGCTGGAACAGTTCCTTCAAAAAGTATATTACTATTCAAATTGGTGTGACTCAGTTGTGTTCAGTGAGTATAATTCTGATTGCTAAATCTGTCCGACTTATTATCTTTAGATTTTTTATTGGAAGGACAGCTAAAAGATCAAGCAATATAGGAACAGTGGAGGTACTGAGTGGATTACAAAAGATGTTGTTTGCAGGCACATTGGCATTTACAACCACTAGTAAGATTCTGCAGTGATTTTATGAAAACCGCCAAGAGTCTGTAACAGTTGCAAAGCTGATTGCAAAATCCCAGATGAACATAGCACCCCAAGGTTTAGAATCCAAAGTCTATGAAACCACATTCTGCAAAGCCTTGGGCTACGGGCGCTCATGTGTCCCACTATGCCTTGTCTGAATTGTTAAATTATAACATACAAAAAAGCGATGTCTTCCTCATTTATGATTTAGTGGTTCTTTCAGATTCTTTGCCTTCCTTCCACCCTATAGGTAAGATACCAGCAGCTGATGAAGCAGCAGGAGAAACTAATGCGAGATACAGAGTCTGCAGTGGCCCGCCGAGAGACTATTGTGATTCGTGCAGAAGCCCAGAGCAAACTGAATAAACAACTGCTTACCAAGGGTGATTTCCACCATAAGAAGCTAGAGCTAAAGAAAAAGATCAAGGAGACGCAGAAGGTCAGAAAGTCAAAAAGGGAATTGGTCAGTGGGGAGGTGATAGCTAGAATCTTCACATGTGCATGGATACATACAAACATATATATATTTATGACTTATTTCCTGTAATAGCATAACAAACTAATCCAGCATGGATGCAACAGTTCTAATAATCAGTATGACTATATTTTCTACTTACTACTAGTTCATGGAAATCTTGGCTAATTATTGAGTAAAAATAGTATAAAAATGGTAATTCTATCTCAAGTGAATTGCTAAAATGGGTGAAAAAACAGAGAGGACATGCTATTTTTTATTGGAGGGAACATCTCTAGGAATTTCTAGGTCCTTCAACATGACTCTATGGTCAACATCCACTGGAAACTAACTATAAAACAACACTAGAGTTTTGTAGGGAGAATATTTCAATCAACTCTATGAATAATCAAATCCACAAAAGGCAAGGCTGCAAATATGGAGGCTGACTATAGTCTGAAACTGTAAAATAGCTTTCTGAAATTGCCAGCTATAAGTACAATATCTGGTGGAAAAAAGCATTGAAGCCCTTTTTTTCTGCTTCTCTGAGGACTTTTTTTGAAACATGATTTTAAAGTCAGTGAATTAGAATTAGAATTGAACTGATAACCAACTTGGCACTGCAAATCAAAGCCATAATTGCATCCTAGTCAGATGGCAGTAGGATCATTTCAATCTTTGTTGTCTCTGTGGCTATGGGAGGACTGAGCTGACATTTGAGAGGTGTTGCAGTCAAGATAAGTTTCCTCCTGGTGCCAAATAAAACAATAAATATGGCATACATTTCCTATAAAGGATGTACATATGAGCATTTGTGATGAAACAAAATATTGAGAAAGGATTTAGTAACAAATGCAACAAACCCTGGGATTTGGACTTTAAGAAAGGGCTGTGACAATTCTCATTCAGGAAGCTCCTCCAGTGCTTCTGACAAGACTACAAATTGCAGGATTCTATAGGATGCAGCCGTGGGAATGAAAGTGGAATTCTAGTGGTATTAACTGTCAAGTGTGAGAATTTGGATTCCTTCTCATAATTTTCATTTTATTTTTATTTAATTTGCTTGTTGACTTTGTATCAGAGAAAGCAAGATACACTCTCTTAAATGCATCTTCGCACATGACAAACTTCTGTTTAGAAAAAAAATTACATCATGTGTAATGCTGCTTTGACAGATGATGTGGGGTTTTTTGCAATATATGATGCATCTACACTGTAGAATGAATGCAGTTTGACACCACTTTAACTGTCATGGCTCAATGCTATGGAATTCTAGGAGTTGCGGTTTTACAAGGTCTTTGGCCTTCTCTGTCAGAGCGCTTTTGTCTCACCATAACATTGAGTCATGACAGTTAATGTGGTGTCAAACTGCATTGATTCTGCAGTGTAAATGTACCCATATTCTGCAGCAGGATGTGTACCGAGAAACAGTGTGGTGTTTTCTTTTCCTTCCCTAGAATGCTGAAGGATGCAACAAAACTCTAAACCAGCTTGAGATTTCACAGCGGAATGTGGGCAATGCTCTCCTGGAGAAGCAGGACGAACTGGCAATCCTGAATAGTGAAATAGAAGACCTTGAAGTACAGGCAGATAAGCTGCTGGCAAAGAAACGGCAGGTAAGGCTTTTCCACACTGCATATTGTGCTAGGTTTATGCTGCAGCACAAACAGCTAGGGTTCCATGGAGGCCTAGGCTTGTCATGAGGAAGCAGCACATTTGATGCAGAAACAGCTTAGCAAACCAGTTGTCTTACTATGTCATTGGGCAGCTTCCCATCTTTGGTGTGTTCCCTTCCAACTGACCAAAGAAAGGTGCAAGTAACAAATGTAGCAGATCCTTTCACACTACACACATATTGTGTGTGATTCTCCTTTCACTGCCATGGCAACATCATACATCCTACAGAATATTGGGATTTGAAGTTTACAGCAGAATACTTAGAACTGTCTGCCAGCAAAACCAAGGCCCTAGGCGAACTATAAATCCTAGAATTCTATATGATGTAGCCATGCTTAGTTGTAGCACCATGATTCCAAGTTAAAGTGGAATCATGGTGCTACAACTAAGCAGCATGAAAAGGCTACTGAGTTCATACTCTGATTTGTGGGGAGGACTAATGTAGAAACAGAAACTTGGCCACTGCCTGCGGAGTCCTGGCTTTTTATATCATGTAAGATGAGCCATGGTTAGAGTCCACCACAATGGCCCACCAATCTCTACTTTTCCCTTTTTTGAAAGAGAAAGATGATCCAAGCCATGTGTTTACAGTTCTCTAGCAGTACACATTATATTTATTTCACAGTTCTTTTTCTCTGAGGTCTTGTCTACTAAAAATTGGTCACTGGTCTGAAAAGTGCCCACATGTTTTTACTGTGTGCTTCCTTTCACTTCTAGATGCAACAGAGAATACTGTATTTTGTGGCGTATTAGGCGACTTTTTAACCCTGGAAAATCTTATGAAAAGTCGGGGATTCGTCGAATACGCCGGGTATAAAATAAAAATAATAATTAAAAGAATAAAATCCAGCCTGCGGAAGGAAGGAGGCAGAGGGACGGCACGGGGAGGAGGAGCAGCAGGCCGCATTACCACGGAGATTGGCCGGGGGTGATGGCCCGCTGAGGTTTCCCGGTGGCTCCTGCCACTCTTCCCACTCTACTTTCAAGGCCCTCCTCCGCCCCTGACACTCGCCTCTTCCGAAGGCCACAGGGCTTGCCTAGGCTCAAGGAAGTGCCTCCAGACGACGTCTCCCAGCAGCCCCAGGCGGTGTGCCTTGGATGTCCTCGCTGAGGCATTCTGGGAGCCGTAGTTCCCTGAATCATATGGCTCCCAGATTGCCTCGACAAGCATAACCAAGGCACGGCACTGCCCGGGGCTGCTGAGAGTCATCATCTGGAGGCCCAAGGAAGCGCCTCTGGATGACGACTCCCAGTAGCCCCGGGCGGTGGTGTGCCTTGAATGTGCTTGCTAAGGCATTCTGGGAGCCGTAGCCCTGACTGCTATGGCTCCCAGAATGCCTCAGTGAATACATCCAAGGCATGCCACTGCCCGGGACTGCTGGGAGTTGTTGTCCGGAGGCGCTTCCTTGGGCGTAAGTAAGCCCAGTGATCTTTGGAGGAGGTGAGTGGTAGGGGCGGAGGAGTGCCTTGAAAATAGAGTGGGGAGAGCAGCGGGGATTGTGGGGACAGCCCAGCGGGCCTTCACCCCCAGCCGGTCTCCATGACAATGCGGCCTGCCGCTCCTCCTCCCCGTGCCCTCCCTCTCTCCGCCCTCCCCCTCCTCCCTCCCTTGCCCTGCATTGACAAGGTTTGCAGGTGGGATTTTTTGTAACAAGATGGCATAGAGGGGTAGTCTTAAACGGTGAGTATATCCCTAACTCTGTATTTTAGCTTGAAAAGTTGGGGGTCGTCTTATATTGTCATTACTTGTCCCTTTTCCACAGACTTTTGTCTATTCTAAAGTATTCAATGTTGCTTTTCTAAGAACCTTGCAGATATTGTGTCCGGTCAGGCACGCTTGAGGCACTTGCAGGCAGTGAAGGAAGGGAAATACAACCCACTCTGCCGTACTGAGATAATGATACGTGTTGAACGCCAGAAAATAGAGGAGCGGCTGCATACTATCAGCATCATTCTTTATCAAGTGGGGAAGGACTGCCCTCATTATCACAGGACTCTGCAGAAAATCAACCAACTTCTAAAAAAACAACTTGAATGAAGCAGCAGCAAAGTATTAGAGAGGAGACCGGGAGTACATCATTTACATTTCAACTTTTCATAAATAAATATGTATTTGAGAATGGAATATTATTGTCTGTCATTTCATCAGAAGGAAATATAATGTGAGGCAGGGGAAAGGCATGTGGATATATAGCAGACTCAACTAGAAGTGAGTGTTCTGAGTTCTGCTGTTTTGTTTTGTTTTGTTTTTTAAAAAAAGAATAACTTCTATTTCCTTTTTCCTTGAAATGTCAAGCTATTACATGATTTTTGTTCCTGGGTTATAAATATCATTTTCTAGTTGCTTCTATCATAAAAACATGAGGAAAGTTTATTAAACTGCAAAAAACTTTTTTGCCGGACATCCTGCAGCACATTTTGCTATAGTTCTTCAATGAATATCTCATAGTCTCAACCAATTTAACATCATTTGTGGCAGCCACAAAAACCAAAAATTGTTACATAATGTAAATGAGCACCTGTTTTAATACCAGCCCAAATAATTACGAGCCTCCAAAAATTATTTAGGAATCCATCTGATTTTGAATGATTTTACATTGTGGAAAGAGTGTTCACATTATTTTCCAAGGCTAGGATCAAGATCTTTTCTTGGATAGTTCAGGTTTTAGGTGGCCCCTTCTACAGGTTTTATGTGGCCTAAGGCCCTTTCTACACTCATATAATCCAGATTATCAAATCAGATAATCCAGATTATACGATCTGAACTGGATTATATGAATCTACACTACCATATATTCCAGTTCAAAGCAGATAATCTGGATTTTATATGGCAGTGTTGATGGGGCCTATGACTCACTGCACTGGGTGACACCACCTGAATTTACCAATAGGACAGAAACAGCAGCTAGCCAAACCACCTTATTATCCCAAATACTTCCAAAAGAGAGTATGTTAGGGGAGAGGGGCGGGCAGCTACTGAAAGTCTTAGAAATGACACAAAGGGTGCATCTACATTATAGAATGAATGCAGTTTGACACCGTTGTGCTTTTGATAGGCAGTTTCACTAGTGCATTATCTTGACCCACTCTAAATACTGCACTTATTCCTATTGGTTCCTTGTCATTTTGTTTAGGTCTGCCCTAGTTCCTGTACATTTGATCTCTGCACTTTCCATTGGCTCCTTTAAGGAATTTTTGCACTCATTGAGCCTGACCACAGCTATGACTTTTACCCCAGCCACATTGTTTTATGATTGTGTTTTGTTTTATTATTTTACTTGATTGTTTTAATGTGTTGTATTTTATCCATGATTTTTGGGCTCTTTCCCTTTGTCAGCCGCCCCGAGTCGCTGAGGGGAGATGCTGGCAGGGTATAAAAATAAGTTACTTATTTACTTACTTACTTTCACTTCCATGGCTCTATGCTGTGAAAGCATGAGTTGTAGTTTGATGAGGTGTCAAAATTATTTGGCATAGAATGACGCAAATACTTTGTGATACTCCAACTCCCATAGCGCTGAGTCATGGTAGTTAAGAGTGCAGTCAAACTATATTCATTCTGCAATGTAGATATATAATATACCTGCAGGCTCAGGAAGGGCTTCCAAATTTTGTGGCTTTTGGTGTTTGTAGTCCTTCAGGGGCGTCTGTGTACCTGGAAGGAAGACGGGTCTATGTTGCAACAGTTATGACGTCTCTTTCTTTTCTTTGCAAAATGCAGGTATGTCCTTGGATTGCATAAAAATAAGTCCTCATGCAACAGAGGGAAAGCTCCTTTAAGACTGATAGAGGCCACACATATCGATGGGTGCTTCTACATACACTGTTAAACTGCATTAGTTTGACACCACTTTAAACTCCCATAGCTCAATGCTATGGAATCCTGGGAGTTGCAGTTTCACAAGGTCTTCATTTTTCTTTGCCAAATCTGTTGCCTCACCAAACTGCAAATCCCAGGATTCCATAGCAGGGAGCCATGGCAGTTAAAGTGGTTTCAAACTGCATCCATTCTACAGTGTAGACGCCCCCTTTATCTATGGGCCTTTCCACACAGACTATCAAGGCAGAAAACCCCACAATATCTACTTTGAACTGGGTTATCTGAGTCCACACTGCCCTATATTCCAGTTCAAAGCAGAAAAGGTGGGATTTTATCCAGCTGTGTGGAAGGGGCCTATATTATCTATTACTGCCTCTATCCCTGTATGTATGGGGGAGGGGAGGGGAGGGGAGGGGAGGGGGAGAAAGCACTCCGTCTGCTCTGCTTCCTCCTTTCTTTGCTAAACGAAAGCCTCAACCCTGGAAGAGGGCGGGGAAAGCCACGTGATCACAGGGTCACGTGACTATGTTGGAATTCCCACCGCAAACTTCACTCTGACCCCAGAGCCTCTGATTGACAGCGGGAGCGTTTGAACTGAAAAGGTGAGTACATACATTTTTGTTGTTTATTATTATTATTATTATTATTATTATTATTATTATTATTATTATTATTATTATTATTATTATTTGCAGTGACGAAGCTTCAAAGATTTTCCTGTCCCCTTTCTATTGCTTTCCCACGAGACAGCTGCTGGAAATTATTTGTGGGGTTAGATCAACCCCACAAAAAAAAGTCCTACCAATTATATGAAGGGTGCATCTGCTCTACACTGTAGAATGAATGCAGTTCGACACCGCTTTAATGCTATGGAATCCTAGGATTTGATCTTTGGTAAACCACCAGCGTTCTTTAAGCAGAGGTGGCTAAAAAAAACCTGCAAAATTGTAACTCCCTTTCTGTCACAGCAGTTAAAGCGGTGTCAAACTGCATTAATTCTACAGTGTAGATGCACACTAAGAGATTTATTTATTTATTTACTTACTTACTATATTTGTATATCGCCCCTCTCAGCCTTTCGGCGACTCGAGGTGGTTTACAAGGCAAAATTCAATGCCACAAAAACACAAATACAATATAAAAATGTTAACATCAATAAAATCATAACAGTGACAATGAAACATAATTCAATAAATACTCGTTAAAACATTGTCCCAGTTCCATCGTGTAGTTGTTCAGTTTCTTATGTCCGTTACTCAGTATTTGCAAATGCTTGCTCAAATAGCCATGTCTTGAGTTTTTTCCGAAATACTAGAAGTGAAGAAGCCGATCTGATCTCCCTAGGAAGGGCGTTCCATAGCTGAGGGGCCACCGCTGAGAAGGCCCTGTCTCTTGTCCCCGCCAGCCGTGCTTGTGACGATGGCGGGACCGAGAGGGGGGACTCTCCAGATGATCTTAAAGTCCTCAATGGTTCATAAGGGATTTCTGAGCCCTGGACGCTGTTCTGAATACAAGAACAACATGTATAATCTGTCTATAGAAAACTCCACTCCTGGTTATGTCCAAATGCCCATTATTGCAGCAGAATAATGGAAAGGACTATAACTTTCTTGCTATTATTGCTAAATACTCAAAGTGTCAGAAATCTTGGCTGTGTCACTGTGAACACTTTGTGTTCCTCCTCTTCCAAGCATTTCTTCTACAGTCCGTCCTCCACATTTGTTGAGGGTAGGGGCATAGGGTGCCCCATTAAAGTGAAAAAAAGGCCAAGAAAGAAATTACTACTTTGTTACCGAGAGAACATCTCTCTAGGTCTTTAAGTCTGGATGATGTGATTCATTGAAATGTATTTTTATTATGCTTATTATGTTTTAATTTCTAACTTATGGTTTTAACTGATGTATGTTTTGAAACACCGTAGAGGTGCGATTGTAAGCTGCCTTGGGTCCCCTTTGGGGTAGAGAAAGGAAGGATATAAATAAGGTAAATAAATATATAATAAGTCTCTAAGTCTTTCACCATGACACAATGGTCCACTTCCCCTGGAAGCTGACAGTAGGTTAGAGACTTAGAGATTCCAAGGGAAAACATTTTAAATCAATAGGTTGCTGTGGGTTTTCCGGTCTGTATGGCTATGTTCCAGAAGCATTATCTCCTGACTTTCTGCCCACATCTATGGGAGGCATCCTCAGAGGTTGTTAGGTCGTTTGGAAACTAGGCAAGTGAGGTTTATATATCTCTGGAATTATGTCCAGGACGGGAGACACTTGTCTGTTTGAGGCAAGTGTGAATGTTGCAAATGGCCACCTTGATTAGCACTTAATGACCTTGAAGCTTCAAAGCCTGGCTGATTGCTGCCTGGGGAATCCTTTGTTGGGATGTGTTAGCTGGCCCTGATTGATTCATGTCTGGAATTCCCCTGGTTTTTTTTTTTTTTGTGTTTCTCTTTATTTACTGTCCTGATTTTAGAGTTTTTTTAAATACTGGTAGCCAGATTTTGTTCATTTTCATGGTTTCCTCCTTTCTGTTGAAATTGTCCACATGCTTGTGTATTTCAATGGCTTCTCTGTGTAGTCTGGCATGGTGGTTGTGAGAGTGGTCCAGCATTTCTGTATTCTTAAATAAAATGCTGTGTCAGGTTGGTTCATCAGGTGCTCTGCTATGGCTGACTTCTCTGGTTGAAGTAGTCTGCAGTTCCTTTCATATTCCATGATTCGTGTCTGGGCAATGCTGCGTTTGGTGGTCCCTATGTAGACTTGTCCACAGCTGCATGGTACATGATAGACTCCTGCAGAGGTGAGAGGATCCCTCTTGTCCTTTGCTGAACGTAGCATTTGTTGGATTTTCTTAGTAGGTCTGTAGATAGTTTGTAGGTTGTGTTTCCTCATCAACTTCCCTATGCGGTCAGTGCTTCCCTTGATGTGTGGTAAGAACACTTTTCCTCTGGGTGGATCTTTGTCTTTACTCTTTTCTTGGCCTTGCAGCTCTTCTGATGTCTGTAGTGGATTATCCATTGATTGGCCCGTAGAGCCCAGTTTAGGTGGTTCAGTTCACCTTGGAGGAGGTAGGGTTCACATATTCTTTTTGCATGCTCTGCCTGGGCTTTAATTGTGCTTTTTTTTTTTTAAATTGGGTTCCTGCCATAGATATGGGCGAAATGTCAGGAGCATGGCCATGCACCCCAGAAAACTCACAGTAACCCAGTGATTGTGGCCATGAAAGCCTTCGACAACACATTTTAAATCAAATCTGTGAAAAATCTAAAAGAGTCAAACCTGACTGTATAAGTCTCCACTTATTAGGTTTTCCCTTGCAGCTACACGCAGTGGCCAATCCTATGCCTTCAGAGGAGATCATACCCAGCTGCCCCATTTTTCTCTGCGATGCCACTGATTGAGAAGCCCAAGCACAGGGACCTGTGTGCAATCCTGTGGGTTTTTATCAGCATCACTTTGCTCAGCGTCTCAGTAATCCACGGAGCACCTCAAGAGGCAGAGAAGAGAGGCTGGGAGAAGGACAGAGGTGGAAAAGCAGAGGAACAACATGAGAAACTTGCTGAGCAGCTAGATCCACTTAGAAGCTTCAGCTTTCAACCCACTCAGTGTGACATCCCTCCAGACAGCCGCTTTGACTGTGCCCCAGAAAAACTGCTCTCTCAAGAAGAATGTGAATCTCGAGGCTGCTGCTACATCCCTGCTTGGCCCAAGGGCAGTGCTGTTTGGCAGCCATGGTGTTTTTTCCCTCCCAGCTATCCCAGTTACAAGATGGTGAACCTGACTGAAACCAAAATTGGTTATACTGCCCAGTTGACCCGGGACAGGCCCACTTTCATGCCAGAAGATATAATGAACTTGGAGTTGGATGTGCTCTTTGAGACAGAAAGTAGGCTTCACTTCACAGTGAGTATGGACAAAGTCTTCTAGAAAGCAGGCTCTTTGAGACAGTTTCTCCTTCATGTTACAAAGGAGATTCCCTTAAAGAAATAGGAAACATTTATCTTCCCAGGTGTTTTGGACAACTACTCCCATCATTCCTTACAATTAGTTTTGCTGTCTGCAGCTTCTGGGATATTTTTTGGGCGTGTGTCAGGAGCAACTTGAGAAATTGCAAGTCGCTTCTGGTGTGAAAGAATGGGTCGTCCGCAAGGACGTTGCCCAGGGGACACCTGGTGTTTGATGCTTTCCCGTCCTTGTGAGAGGCATCTCTCATGTCCCCACACGAGGAGCTGGAGCTAACAGAGGGAGCTAGACCCACTCTTTCCAGATTTGGACCGCTGACCTGTCGGTCTTCAGTCCTGCCAGCACAAGGGTTTAACCCATTGCACCACATGGGCTCCTGGGGCTTCTGGGAGATGAAGTCCAAGAGCATCTGGATAGTCTTGTCATTTCTACCTCTAAGCTAGACAAAACTAATATAAGAAATGCACTGTAATACTAAATTTTGCTATAATGTTGGGACAGCTTGTTCTTAAAGTGACCCAGAAACCTAAGAGGGAATTAAAACAACCCTAGTGGTTGCGGCAGGACTACATCCACCTGTAAAGCTACTTGCCTTCCCCACAACCCGAGACAAATGATGTGAACAGTAAAAACCCCAGAACACATTATGTAGATATGCTAAGTATACCTAATGCTTATTTGCTGAAGTTAGCCTTCTTGGCCACAGTCTGCTCGGGTATGTATGTATAGAATTATAATCTCAACTTCGTTTTGCACTTGTTTAATAGAGCCTTGGTCACAGATATAATATTTGGATTTTGCTAATGAGCCAGGTATGTAATAACCTCAGTGTTTGTGGCCCAGACTGTTTGGATCCTAGGTTAGAGATGAACCTAAACCTCATAGATGTTCCTCTTTGTCTTCTTCTCCCAAGTAATTTCATTATTATTTCCTCCTATTCTGTAGTAGCCTAGTAACCACCTTTAGTCTGATCTTTGGGGAAAAGGTGGGATATTGATGATGATGACAATGACAGCAATAGCCTGACTAGAATGCTTTGTTCTGCATCATCTCTATTACTACACAATGAAAGTCTTCTTTATGTGGCTTTGCTCAGGCCTGTCATGCTGTTTGTATGTCTCTCTCGCTACAGCTTAAGGATCCAGCTAACAAACGTTATGAGGTACCTTTAGAAACTCCCCAATCAAGCAACAAGGCGTCCTCCACATGGTACTCAGTGCAGTTCTCAGATGATCCCTTTGGCCTTGTTGTTATTCGTACGTCCAATGGACGTGTACTGTAAGTACCCCCAAGCTTTCTGTATCCAAATGCATTGCCTCATAACTATTTGCCTCTTGGAAATTAATTAATAAAAGTTGAAAATCTGTGTGAAAGGAATACTAGAAAGAGAAATGTTGGAATGCCTGTTGAGTCTTGTGCCTGTAGTTAGTAGTCAGGTTGTTTTATAGAACATATACCAGCTTCCTACATTTGGCATCTTCTCATGTGCCTGCCAGGGAACTAAAGGAAAAGCAACTCTCTGATTGTATTCTCATGTCTTCAAATGTGTTTCACATCATTCTATTCCTCTAAGGCCCCTTCCAGACAGCTGAATAAAATCCCACATTTTCTGATTTGAACTGGAATATTTGACAGTGTGGACTGAGATCAAAGCAGATATTGTGGAATTACCTGTCTTGATATTATCAGCTATATGGCTGTGTGGAAGGGCCCTAAGTTAAATCTCATATATACTCATTAAATCACAAGTAAGAACATATGGGCCTCCAGGTGATGTTGGTCTACTACTTCCATCTGCCACAGCAAACCCAATACAGGCAGTCCCCAAATTAAAATATCTGACTTACAAACTACTCATAGTTAAGAATGGGGGCAAGACAACAGGAAGTGAGAGAAATCTATCCCTTGGAAGGGAAATTCGCTCCTGAAAGAGTTATTATGAGTGGGGGAAAGATGTCTCCATTGGAGCTTTATTGCCAATCCTTGTTCCACACCAAGAAGAAGAACTTTATTTTTCTACCCCGCCTCCATCTCCCCAAAGGGACTCGGGGCGGCTTACATGGGTTAGCCCAAGGCAGAATACAATTAAAAACAAAGCAATAAAGACAGCATAAAACAGCGTAAAACAACGTAACACTAATAGCTAGCAACAACAGCTGACTAATTTTGGAAGGGGGGAGGAAAACCATTACGTGAACTATGTGAAAACCACAACTCAATTTTTTAAAAATTCAATTATCACAGGGATAGAAAGTGAGGTGACATCTTCTGAACACAGACAGCAAAACAAACACCACAGAGATATTAATCCTTTCCTATGCTATCCACAGCTTAGCTTGGCTGGAGTTACATTTAAATAATGTGCCTGTTCTGACTTACATACAAATTCAAGTTAAGAACAAACTTACATAACCTGTCTTGTTTGTAACTTTGGGACTGCCTGTATTGAAGAAGTCAACATTATTAGAAAAGCTCTCTCCCTGCACTAAATTTATCATATTGAGAAGTGGCCTCCATTGGCTTTGACCTGTAGTTCAGAAACTGTGAGTGCCATTCTATATGCAGGTTTAGTTGCCTTGGACTAAAAATCTATTGGCCTTGCTCTATTCCGGTAAGCAAGAGCTTGACTGTGCTTGCCAACATTCAGGCTACTGTAATTACATTATTGGGATATAATAATGAGAACTAGACATCTGACTTGGAAATTTTCAGTTCAGAATTGCTGTCTCTTTCCCTTTCTTTGGCTATTTATAAGCAACATTTAGAAAAGTAATTGCTTCTAATGGGCAGCTGATCTGCAGAAAAATTACATGACCCAGTCAATCGTACAAAAAAAATGGTAAAGTATAATGTGTACAAGGTTCTGGAGTGGGGTAAGTCGAGGGATGCTAATGGAGAATTCAGTGTGAACTGTTAGCTGGAATGCTCCATTTTCTCCCCAACAGGCTCAATACCTCAGTGGCCCCCCTATTTTATGCAGACCAGTTCCTGCAGATCTCAACCTCCTTGCCTTCCCGTTTCATCTCTGGACTGGGTGAGCATTTGACTTCACTCACCCTTAGTGTCAACTGGACCAAAGTTACCATGTGGAATCGAGACATATCACCAATGGTAAGTCATGGAGAGAGGCAATAAGCTATACATTTGAGCAGTGTTGAAAATAGTGACTTTCTTCAAGCCTCCACTACTTGTTTGTTATGTATATAATTCATAATGCTTGTTGTTGTTCATTCGTTCAGTCGTCTCCGACTCTTCGTGACCTCATGGACCAGCCCACGCCAGAGCTCCCTGTCGGCCGTCACCACCCCCAGCTCCTTCAAGGTCAGTCCAGTCATTTCAAGGATGCCATCCATCCATCTTGCCCTTGGTCAGCCCCTCTTAATGCTTATAATAATAATAATAATCATAATGCTTACTGTATTGTATATCTGTATATTGGTTTGTAATTTCACTTTGACCCTTTGTTGTGGGAGGGGCTGAAGACCATGTGATCAGAACTGGACTTGATCAGGACTCAGACTCCATTGTAGAACCGTATGCCTTAAGATTTCAATGCAGGAATAGTGTTTTACTTTAGACTTCAGTAGGAACAGTATGCTTAGAAACATCATTGGACATTCAGACTAGACAGAGACTCTATTAGACTCTCAGAACAGAGAGATGCTTTGGAATATGGACTATTGATTCTCAGAAGAATGCTCCGTGTTACCTACACAGAGAAACTACTTCAAATCTATTTGTAACTGGATTGATAGACAAAGTACCTGTATGCTGAACACATGAAGTTCGTTAGTAAACCAACGATGTTCCTTTTAAAGTGGTCTGCTTATTTTAAATCTCTTGAGAACATGATTTAAAGGCAAATATATTTTAAGGGAGAGTAGATTTTTTTGGTCAGCTAAAAGGAACACTTCTGAAACTCTGCTGAATATATGTGTGTTTTTGTGCGTTGGCATATCTTTATCCCTAACAGTTCAAAGGCAAATCTAGCTACATCAGTTTAACAGCTGAGAAGCCTAATTGCCTTTCATGAATGCTGGTGAATGCCATTTCCCCAAAAAGGTTATGACTAACAAATTATGCTTTTACCAAGAGGTTATGGCATCATTTTTTCAAAAGGTTATGACTTCTAACAAGGTCGTGCATTTCCAAAGATCATAAAACCTCCAAAGGGTTATGGAGATTTCCATTTTCCAAAAAGCAGTTGGATGTACTTCAGAATGATCTGTGAAATCACCATCTGATGATAAATTCACCTTTTCATCTGATAAATAGAAACCTATGATACCGGTGAGGTACAGTATCATGTCCAGATCCCAAAGGTGACCGCTGCTATACCCTTATCAACTTGCATACCTAACAAAAGAGTACCTCACAGCACGATCCTATCCATATGTGCCAAGCACAATTCAAAGTGCTGACTTTAGCCTATAAAACCCTAAACGGTTTTGGCCCAGCTTACCTATCCAAACGTATCTCCCTCTATGAACCATCACGGAGGTTAAGATCATCTGGGGAGGCCCTGGTCTCAGTCCTGCCTCTGTCACAAGCGCAGCTGGTGGGGACGAGAGACAGGGCTTTTTCAGGGGTGGCTCCTTGGCTCTGGAACTCCCTCCCCAGCGATATTAGATCAGCGTCCTCCCTCCTGGCCTTTAGAAAGAGAACAAAAACATTATTGTGGGATCAAGCCTTTGGCAAATACATAATGCAGTACAAAGAATAGTTAAGGAACACGTGCAATGACAACTCGTAATGGCTATGGTATACGATTTCTGGATCATGGGATTTAATGTTTATACTAGGATAATTTTATGCTTGTCTGAATGTTTACATTTTATGTATGTCTTATGTTTAGTGGTTTTAATTGATTTTAAGTTCATAGTTATTATGATTTCTTTGCGTACTGTGTGTTGGGATTGAAAATTTGCCATTAGTATGTTGTAAACCGCCTTGAGTCCTACCAGGGGTGAGAAAGGCAATATATAAATACAGTAAATAAATAAATAAATCTGGATAGAAGCATTTTGTTAATGAGTATATATGTATAACATTTCAAAAATCTTTGGCTAAAACTAGTATGATCAGTTCTCTGCATCAGTCTAGACCAGTGGGTCCCAACCTTTGGTCTTCCAGATGTTTGGGACTTCAACGCCCTGAAATCCCAGCTGTCATACCAGCTATTAAGAATTGTGGGACCTGAAGTCCAAAGCACCAGAAAGACCTAAGGCTGGGAACCACTGGTCTAAACATAACATAGGGGCATAACACATATGCTTCCTATGTAGGGAAGACATTATAGGAGGGAAGACATTATAGGAGGGCAAACCAAGCCTTTTGCTTAAGTTAGCTCTCCTGACCAGGAACTTAGATCCTAATTCCTCCCAATTTGTCCTAACAACATTCATTGACTTATTATGGCACTTGATTATTTTCCCAAGCAATTACTGAAAAGGGGACATTGGAATGGAAAGAGGAACAGTATTCAGCTTAGTCTAGCATTGAAGTTGTGATGTGCTCAATTACCATCAAAATTATATTGTCTAGGAATGTAAATGTGTTTTACAATTATTAATACGTTTTTGAGTTTTACTTCAATATTTTACCTTTTTGGAAGGCTATAATTGTGGAGTTTTTGTTAACTAAGGAATTTTTATGCCTCTAAATCTGTAACGATATATTTTATGTTGCATTCGTCTACACTTTCCACCCTGATACCTTACCTTATAAGACTTAGATATATATATATATATATATATATATATATATATTCCTGATTGACTAAATCTGGTGTGATTGTGAAACCATTGAGAAAGCCTGGTTTAGATTTATAGGTTTTAGATCGTGCGTTATTTTTATTTTCCAGCCTTCAGCCAATTTGTATGGTTCGCATCCTTTCTATCTAGTGCTGGAAGAGGATGGCTTGGCCCATGGAGTCTTTTTGCTAAACAGCAATGCTATGGGTAAGTATTTCATTAGGATGGGCCCTTGATATGCAAAAACATCTTCAGTGTGATAGAGTATCATGATGATAATCAGTGGAGTGTTCAATAGGTTGAATACTCCACACTATGAACCACCCTGAGTCCCCTTTGGGTTGATAAAGGGGGTATACAGATAATGCAAATAAATAAATAAATAAATAAATAAATAGTGTACTCAAATATACATATATCACTGTTGAAATATGCACAGGGCAATGTGGGGAATGGCCACAATGTTCCCCCATACCATGCTACTCAGCTCTGAGGCACTACCTCATGAAGCTTCTGGTATTTTCAGAAACTAGGTTGCTATTGGGATGGCTTGGTTTCCCTGTCCTTAAGGAAAGGGCTTTGAGAGATGCAAGAGTGGAGGTTTTGCCATCACATTGGTGGGTCCAATGCAGCTGTGAAGGTGGCAGTTCCCCATTCCTGCACCAATTCCATGTTTGCACTGGCTGCTAAAGCACTAGATTATGGCTTTTAGGTCCAGAAAAACACAATTTGCAGCCAAATAAATTTAAGCTTTCTTCCCCAAAAGAGCTGAACTCTGTTCTAGGAATATACAGTGTGTGTTTATATCTGCACATAACACTATATAACACGATTTTGTTCCCGGGTAATAAATGTCATTTCCTAATTGGTTCTGTCATAAAAACATGGACAAATTTAATTAATTAATGTGGGGGATATCCTGCCCCACATTTTGCTATATTTTTTCAATGAATGTCTCATAGAGTCTCAACCAATTCAACATAGTTTGTGGCAGCCACAAAAACAAGGTTTTTGGAGTAGAATAAGTACTTTCAAAGCAAGTACTGCACAATTAAACAGGAAATAACACTTTCTAATCAGGAACAGGAATATTTTCAAATTTTGTCACATAGTGTAATTTTATTAAAATTAATTCAAGTTAGTCTTTCTCTGCGGGCAGCTTGAAAACTCAGTGTAGTAATGTGTGCACTTCTTGCAAAATATCATAATGTCTGTATATAATTCTGCAGAGAGATGATAAGTCTGGAAATCTTTACCAAAAGTGTTTTAAGGCAGGTGGAGTATAAATGTGAAATTGATGTACATTTAGCTGGAGCATTCTTTTAGCACAATTTCAATGTCTTTGTTTGCTTTGCAGATGTGATACTGCAGCCCAGTCCCGCCCTGACATGGAGAACAACTGGGGGCATCCTGGACTTCTATGTGTTCCTGGGTCCAGACCCAAAGAGTGTGGTGCGCCAGTATATGGAGGTCATTGGTAGGCACTGGAATGCTTCTTTATGAGAGAATGCACCATGATGATGAAACATTTTTTACTTTGCATACTTTTCAATAAGACTGAATCTCCTCCTGCCCCTTCTTCTTCCCACAGGGTATCCATTTATGCCCTCGTACTGGGCCCTGGGGTTCCACCTCTGCCGCTGGGGCTATGCTTCCACAGCCATTACCCGGGAGGTGGTGAAGAACATGACAGCTGCACAGTTCCCCCTGGTATGTGGCTTCCCTTGTGCTCTGCCCAGGATTTTGTGAAGGATTGCTCAGCTGATTTGCTTTTGTAGTAGGAGAGCTAGAGCTGGGTGTCTCGGGAAATCAGCCATCAAGCCTGCAAATAAGAGAATTGCCTGTATGCTTTCTAATGATGCTATTTCTGAGCTTCCCAGGATGTGCAATGGAATGATCTGGATTATGCAGATGCTGGGAGAGATTTTACCTTCAACAAGGATGCTTTTGGGGATATGCCAGAAATGGTGAATGAATTCCATCGCGAGGGACGGAGGTATGTCATGATCGTGGTAAGTGAATGGGGAAAAACTTAGTACGCATAGATGGAACATAGTGACCTCTGCTTGCAAAGTATTTATTTAGTTTATTTAGAGCATTTATACTCCTCTTTTCAGCCACAAAACCCCTCAGAGTGGCTTACGTATTGATTTTGACAGTCTTCTTGACAGCAATGAGTGTTCCCCAGTATTAATCCATACTGCCCACACATTTTCAAAATTTTTGTCTTTCACAACGCTGTGGACTTCAGCCAAATAAACACATGCTTTGTGCCTTAGTCACATCCCGTTTGGACTATTGCAATGCTCTCTACGTGGAGCTGCCTTTGAAGATAATTCAGAAGTTTCAAATGGTCCAGAGATTGGCAGCCAGGTTACTAACTGGAGCGCCGTTCAGGGAGAGAACCACTCCCATGTTGTGACAGTTCCACTGGCTGCCAGTCTGCTTCCGAGCTAAATACAAAGTGTTGGTTCTTACCTTTAAAGCCCTAAACAGCTTAGGTCCAGACTACTGTGAGACAATAATCGAATGGTGTCCTGAGATGGTTTTTAAGCAGCTTATTTTAAAGTGGATATAAGTGATTTTAATATTTGTATATATTTATGGTTTTATGTCCTGGCATTGAATGTTTGCCATATATATGTTGTGCTCCGCCCTGAGTCCCCTGTGGGGTGAGAAGGGCGGAATATAAATGTTTTAAATAAATAAATAAATAAATAAATAATACTTGACAACCCACATCTCCCTCTACAGACCAACTCGGACACTGCGGTCATTGGAGGAGGTCCTCCTCTCAGTTCCACCCCTGTCCCAAGCACGGCTGGTGGGAACAAGATAAAGGGTCTTCTCCGTGGCTGCCCCACACCTCTGGAACTCCCTTCCTAAGGAGTTAAAGATGGCCCCCTCCCTCCCCACCTTTAAAAAACAGCTGAAGGCACACCTTTGCTCACTGGCTTACGAGGAGGAGGAATAGTAGTTGGTAATATTACCATTATACCTCTGATTAATAGTTGCCATCTGTATCCATGCCCTGCTCACCCCACCAGCTCAATAGATATCTTGAGCAATGATTAATCAATTTGCCCCAAAGAAATGGGAAATTACTGTTTCCATTTGATGTTTGATGTTTTGTGCTATAACAGGCTGTGCTTTTTGTTCAATTTTAGTTTGTTAAGTTATAATTCGTATTAATATGTTGTATAAAATTTGTTACTATGGATGTATTGTTGTATTCAGGCACTGAATGTTTGCCTTTTATGTTTGGAATCCACCCTGAGTCCCTCTGGGAAGATAGAGCGGAATATAAATAAAGTATTATTATTATTATTATTATTATTATTATTATTATTATTATTAGTATTGTTATTTTGCTACAGTAAAAGAAGTGCCTAGGGGTAGTCCACAAAGAAGGCATAGAAACCAAAAAAGTCAAGTATCTATACAATCTGTTATAGTGGTTAACAGGTTGTTTTACTGCATCATAACCATCACATTTCTTCACACATGTGTGTTCTGTTAACATCCCATAATAGCCATTTATTGAATTATTTTGTTTCATTAGTATAACAGATTCAGCCCCGAGGGTGTGATTTCTTTACTATCATAATGAGCAATAGGTTATTAAGTCTTAGGATTTTCCTTGGAGCCCTTCTTACCAATTAGCGTAGCCCAGTCTCTGCTGTCTTTGCCAGGAAGATACAAACTGGGATCAGTTGAAGACATTCTTTCTTGGAGCATCGATATTTGATTAAAACAATTCATCTATTTTAACTTTGAATATTTTTAATGGTTTTTAACTACAAATTATTTAATTCTGTTTTAATGTTTGCATATTTGTATATTTTTAATTGTAGGCTAAGGTTAAGCTTTCTTTGAGGCCCCTTCCACACAGCTGAATAAAATCCCACATTTTCTGTTTAGAACTGGAATATATGGCAGTGTGGACTCCATAACCCAGTTTAAAGCATTGTGGGATTTTTGTCTTGATATTATGAGTTATATGGCTGTGTGGAAAGGCCCTAAGTCTCCTTTGTGAGAAATAAAGCAGGGTATAATATAATTCTCCTCACCCAAACTCCATTTTTCTTCAGTTCAGCCCATCACATTGAGCAACATAGGAGTGAAAGTCAATTGTTCAAGGGCAATCAGAATCTATCTAAGTTGAGAACAGAATGAGAAACAGTAACTCAAGACTTACTGTTTTCCTGACCCTGTCAAATCTATTATGCCATTGTGTGTCTCCCTCCCTCTGTTTTTCCTTTTTTAGGATGCTGGCATCAGCAGTTCTAGCCCCACTGGCACTTACAAACCTTTCGATGAAGGCTTGAAACGTGGGGTCTTCATCTTAAATGCAACCGGACAGCCTCTGATTGGGAAGGTGCGCCTGGGGCCTGAATCTCCGTAGCCATTGAAACATTGCAATTCCAGATAGGATTTTAAAGTAATGGTCTTAATCTGAGTTTTAGGTTAATGTAACAAAGAGAGTCAGACAAGTCATCATAAGACCTGGCTGTGGCAAGAAGGCAGAATGAGGCTTAGCTAGATCTGCCTGCCAGTTTTCCTAGAGATGGTACAGATTAGGGTCATGGGTGGGGAAGTGAAGCAGCAGCAGTGGCGGTCTTGTGTGGGAATGCTGTCTTGCTAAGCAGGTGATCTGTTCAGTAGTTGCTAAGTTTTTCAGACTCCTGTTTCTGCTAAAGATCAGATTTGTAGTATAGGAATGCTACAAGATCCTATGCTACCTCTGGATTCCCAGCTGGCTGCAGTGGCAAAGAATGCATTTGTGTTGTTACATTCTCAGTGTCCTGTTCAGTTAAATAGTTCCCAAACTGGTCTAATTTGGAAACATCTATGCCTTAGTACATTACATCTTGACTGCTGCAGTGTGCTTTGTATGGGATTGAATAGTGCCTGAAAGCCTAAAATGCAGCAGCGAGGCTATTAACTAGGGCACAGAATTGGGATAATATTACAATAGAGTTGGACGGACTGGATTAACCATTAAGCAAAGTAAGCACATGTTTAAGGTATCAATTGAAAGGGGACACCACAGAAATTAAGCTTTGTTACATTTCAAGAAATAACATTTTAATATGTGGTGGGAAGGTAATGGCGCTTAACGCAGTCATGCTGGCCACGTGACCTTGGAGGTGTCTACGGACAATGCTGGCTCTTCGGCTTAAAAATGGAGATGAGCACCACACCCAGAGTCAGACGCAACTAGACTTAATGTCAGGGGAAAATCTTTACCTTTTAAATATTGTTTATATTTTGAATCAGACATATTTGTGGGGTACCAAATCTTTAAAGTGCTAAGGGCCTCTAAAGGTTTTAATCCAGCCCTGACAGTCAGCCCTCCATATTTGTGGGTTTAACTTTTGCAGATTTGATTAATTCTCAGGTTTGATTAACATATTGTCTCTAAGAATCCCAAGTCCTTCCAGCATAACTCTGTGATCAACTTCTGCCAGGGTACACAAGGGTTTCTGACAGCTCTGATCTTTTGATCCTCCAGGTTTGGCCTGGACCCACTGCCTTCCCTGACTTCACAAATCCAGAGACACATCAGTGGTGGCATGATATGGTCAAGGATTTCCATGATCGAGTACCTTTTGATGGCATGTGGATTGTGAGTGTCTTCTCCGAGTCCCAAGCGATTTTACTCTTGTGAATCTCTTTAGAGGAGGGAACACTACTGTACATATGTTTCTTGAAATTCTCTTGTATTCTGCTAGGACACTGATTGAAGTTCACAAAATACCTTCTTTGTCCTCTTCTCTTCTTAGGATATGAACGAACCATCAAATTTTGTGGAAGGTTCTGTGGAAGGCTGTCCCAACAACAAGCTTGAGTCCCCACCTTATGTGCCAGGTAAAAGAAAAGAGCAGCCAACAAAAATGAGACGTGGCTAGTAAGTGTTTGCTGGAGTTGGAAAAATAAAAGTAATTAGTAGAACTCAATAAGTCCTTTTTGGAAATACAAACAACACTTCACTCTGGGTGAAAGGTAGCATATGAATGACTGAATACATAAATGAATAAATAATTTCCCTTTTGACTCACATGTAACGTCTTCCTTACTTACAGGTGTATTGGGTGGATCCTTGAAGTCACGAACTCTTTGTGCTTCCAGTAAACAACACCTGTCTTCTCACTACAACCTTCACAGTCTGTATGGACTGACAGAAGCCATAGCTTCCCATGAGTGAGTATTAAATGGAGGAAAATAGGCTAGGTGGTTCGCCATTAAGAACCCTGCCTTCAAAATGGAGAGCGTCTGGGGTACAAACTTGGAGGAGTAATGCTTCAAAATGGTTGTCTCATTTGTGGGGAGGCAGTCTTGTTTTTAGGGTGGAGGGTTGGCTTGGCTGGCAAGTTGGGACCAGGCTGATTTCTAGCTGATCTGTCGCACAGTAGCATCACATAGCATTTCCTGGGTTCTCCTAGCACTTGTTCATTCTTGATACTGTGAGTCTAGTTGTGTGTATTCAGGAGCATTAAAGACCCAGTCTCCATGTTCACAAACATAGATTTCTGATTTCTTTAATGTTTTACTTGTCAGGACAACCTCAGTGGCCTGAGGTGTAGGGATTTTTATGATAATGATATATGTGATTATTTTGATGCTTATTTATATGTATGTAACTTGTGTTTTATGCAATGTGTGGATTTATATGTTGGGTGAGTGGGTTGATGGGGGTTTTTGTATGCCGCTTTGAGTCCCATTTGCAGGCGAAATGTGGGGTAAAAGTAAATATAAAAAATCTCCCTGCTGCCTTCTCTCCTTTCTGTTCTCAGTGCATTGGTGAAAGTGCGAGGGAAGCGTCCATTTGTTATCTCCCGTTCCACTTTTGCCAGCCATGGTCGGTATGCTGGCCATTGGACAGGGGATGTCTTGAGTACCTGGGAACACTTATACTACACCATCTCAGGTACAAATGTTTGGAGAACCTGTGACCATTCCCAGTGCCTGCTTTTATCTATATTACATTGAGATCTTTGTTTTTTGTTTTGTTTTGTTTTGTTTGTTTGTTTATTTGTTTTGTGCAATGGGTTAAGCTTTTGTGCTGGGGGACTGTTGACCAAAAGGTCGGTGGTTCGAATCTGGGAAGTGGGTTGAGCTTCCATCTGTCAGCTCCAGCTTCTCATGTGGGACATGAGAGAAGCCTCCCACAAGGATGGTGAAACATTTGACCATCCTCTGGGCAATGTCCTTGCAGACAGCCAATTCTCTCACACCAGAAGCGACTTGCAGTTTCTCAAATCGCTCCTGATATGGGAAAAAAAGCTCTTTGATATATCTACTAGAGTCCTCACCATTATCACAGAGCTCACTGGTTATTGGTTTGATCTTTACTTTTATATTTTGTTATAATGTTGTTGTTTTATTCTGTTTTATGTTGCTGTTTATATATTTTAATGTGCTATATTTTAGCCATGTTGTTCAGGCTTGTCCCCATTTAAGCTGCCCCGAGTCCTTTCAGGGAAATGTAGGCAGGGTAGAAAAAAGTTATGATAGATAGATAGATAGATAGATAGATAGATAGATAGATAGATAGATTATTATTCAGCAGCAATCTCTCTTTCTTAATTTCCACTGTCCCTGGCTGTGCCTTTCCTAATCAATTCCATGTACCTTCCTTTCTTGAACCACAGCGGTGCTGCTTTTTAATCTTTACGGTGTGCCATTGGTTGGTGCGGATGTTTGTGGTTTTGTGGGGAGCACCTCAGAGGAGCTTTGTGTGCGCTGGACCCAACTTGGTGCCTTCTACCCTTTTATGCGAAACCACAATGACCGCAGAAATATGGTAAGCATGAGGGCAGGGGATCAATCTTATTTTAGAAATGCATAGTGTGAATGGGGTATTGGAGAAGAATGTGATAACTTGATTTAGAAAGTTCAGACAGGAATTGTGTAATTCCCTAAACAAAGAACCTAGCTCAGTCTATGATAAGGGAGGGGTGGACATTTTGAATGGATTTTTATCTGTCTCAGTAATTCCAGATAGAAAGTACAAATTCAGCTTGTCAAGGAACTTAAGAGATCAGCGAAACATTTGACTGGATTTATGTAAACCATATTTCAGGCTGTCCTTGGTAGGCATTCATCACCATATCTTGACACAGTGAATTCCAAAGTGTGACTATGCACTATGCAAAGCAGTGCTTTCTTTTGCTTGCCCTGATGATTGATTACTAGTATTATGAAGGAAGAGGGCTTTTCCACACCATAAATAATTCCATGTATGAATTGTCATGTCTCTTCTCACTTGCATTCTTTATATTCCCAGAATCTGTAACCTTTTGCCAAAGGGGGGGGGGGGCAGCAGCATAGATTCCACAGTAGCTATATAGCTGCATAGGGAGTAATTTCTTCTTGGGTGATGTTGTGTTGTTCGCTTTCTTTTATGGCATTCTGTTTAGCTGTGACTCTGTAAAATCAAAAGTCAGGTGGCAGGGAAAGGGTTTCTTACAGTAGAGCCCAATGATAGCTCCTGGCCTCCCACATCAGTGAAAGCTGATGCCCTTTCTGCTAGTGTAGTTTTTTTAATGTGTAGGTGGCACAAGTCCGCAGCCTCGTGTGCTTTGCCTCTGCTCTAGCATGGAATGAGGCCCCAGACAATGTTTCTGCCAAGGGTTGTCAGTTCCATACATGTTAATGAGTGTCACAGTGTCCCATACAGGTAAGGAAGACCTTGGTGTAATCAGACATAATAATTGGCACCTAAGAGTGAAGGCAGGGAGCAAGAAACTTGGCTTGGCAGATCTGAGTGATGAATTATCTCATCTTACATAGGACCACTCATTCTTTCATCTCCCTTTCTGCTTTTCAGCCTCAGGAACCGTATGTCTTCAGCCAAAAGGCCCAGCAGGCTATGAGAAAAGCCCTCTTCCTGCGCTACTCATTCCTACCTTACCTCTACACCCTCTTCCACAAAGCTCACTCTGCAGGGGAGACTGTGGCCCGGCCCCTCTATTTGGAGTGAGTGATTGACTGCTTTGCTGGCAGTGGAAGGTCTGCTGCAGTGGGTCTCCTTTATATCTGGCTTTTGCCAGCAAAAGTTCCCCAAGATCTTGAATTACTATATAGCATATAGTGTAGCTGGGAAGCTTGAAAAGTATTTGCGGGGTAGGTCTATAATGCCACTGGCCTCACTGGCTGAAGCTGTAATCCAAGAACTAACTTTTCCAAGCTGTATTATAGAACAGTGGTTCCCAACCTTTGATCCTCCAGGTGTTTGGGACTCCAACTCCCAGTAGTTCCAACCAGGAAGGCAAACTGTCAGGAATATTGGGAGCTGAAGTTCAAACCACCTGGAGGACCAGGTGTTTTGAGATAAAGAGTGGAAGAAGGATTTGACAGGCTGAATAAGGTGTTCTGATTTTTTTCTGTTGTCACTGCAGAGCAGTGTCACACAGGAGCCCCCAGTAGCACAATGAGCTAAATCCTTGTGCTGGCAGGACTGAAGACCAACAGGTTGGAGGTTTGAATCCGGGGAGAGCACGGATGAGCTCCCTCTGTCAACTCCAGCTTCCCATACAGGGACATGGGAGAAGCCTCCCACAAAGATGGTATAACATTATGTGGGCATCCCCTGGGCAACGTTTTTGCAGATGGCCAATTCTCTCACATCAGAAGCGACTTTCAGTTTCTCAAGTCACTCCTCAGACACACACACACAAAGTATCACACTCAAATCTGAAGGCCAACAAGAAGATTAGCTGGAAAAAGAAACTCTGTAGGTTGAGTGAAATACTGGCTGAAAAATGTAAGTTTTAATCACTGTAAAAATTGTGTGCTTTTCTTTGTTTTGGGGAAAACATCCTTTCTACAGGTTCCCAGAAGATCCAAATACATGGAATGTTGATCGGCAGTTCATGTGGGGATCAGGACTTCTCATTACACCTGTGTTAGAGGCAGGAAAGACTGAAGTCAGTGGCTATTTCCCTTTGGGCACATGGTACAACCCTCTGACAGTGAGTATTGCTTTGTCCTGGCTGGTTGAATAGTCATGATCCTTCAATGGAAGTGAAATGAACCTGATCCTTTTAGCTCTGGATGCAATATTTTCTTTCAGTCTGCTCTTCTTTTCTTATGATTACCAATTTCATCTATGGTGTTTATTGGGCTATCTCTCTTGCCATCTGGCAAGATATCAAACCTGCTATGATTTGAATTCCCTTAAAGAAGTGAAGGTGTAAGCCTCCTGATAAAAATACACCATAGAGTGGACAGGTAAAAACCAAGTTGAGAAAATAGAGAGATTCAGTCCCCAGCTCCTGCTTTCACTTTGGTTCATGCACTAAGATATTACGAGACCAAACACAGATTACATAGTAAAAGTATTCAAAGCAGGGTAATCATTTTAAAGTGAAAACTACTTGGATGCAACCCTGCATACATGAAAAGAAAAATCTGAAGTTGTCCAAAGATTACCCTAAATTCATTGTTGGGACACAACTTTTAAATAATGCAGACGTAAGGATCATTGTCAGTGTTTAAAAATGGATGAGCTCTAGAAAAGATGGGCTTCGTAGGACTATGAGCTCAGAAGGCAACGTGTGTGCGCCCTTTTCTGCATGACTGAAAAATGGAAGGAATATTAGGAGAGAAAGACATGTAAACAACAACCAGCAGTAACAAACATCAGGGGTTTTAACTGTTTTGTGTGCCCTCTTCCTTTGTCCCATATCCAACATATTTAGGCATCATTTGCTGAACTTCCAGTTGGTCTTCATTGTGCAATCTGTATGTCTGGTTCTTTAGGGGTTTATCATACACAGCAAGGGACAGTGGATTCTCTTATCGGCTTCTCTTGACACCATCAATGTTCATGTCCGTGCAGGTCACATCCTCCCTTTGCAGGTGAGTCACTGCCACTAGTTCCACTCACTGCTCCCTGTAAAAACAAGCATGCTCTTTTTCAAGTTATAATATGATTTTTGAACCCGCCCCTAACCTTCACTAGGGGAATTGAGGCAGAATATGATAGGTTCTGCTGCAAGATACTTTGGGCAGCATGGGCTGCTGCTTTATTTGTGGTAATGGGGGCAGTGGGAGCAGGAGAAGACTTGTCACAGAGAAAGGATCACTTTGATGTCGTTTTCTCGTTTTGTTTTTTCGTTGCCTGCATTCCCAGAAACCGGCATTCACAACTACAGAGTCTCGCAAAAATGGGATGATCTTGGTGGTGGCTTTGACAACGGAAGGGGTAGCCCGAGGTGACCTGTTCTGGGATGATGGTGAAGGACTATTTACCTTTGAAAAGGGCGATTACACACAAATCCTCTTCTTGGCAAGAAATGTGAGTTTTTAGAAGAAATAGATTTGATCTCCAGCTAACATTAGTTCTTGATCTATTCCACAGTGGTTCTCAACCTTTGGGCATTTGGGTGTTTTGGACTTCAACTCCCACAATTCGCAACATCTGATGAGATGGCTGGGATTTCTGGGTGTTGAAGTCCAAAACGCCTGGAGGCCCAAAGGTTGGGAACCACTGGAACTTATTTCCATGAATTTTTGGGACAAAGTAGGGCAGCCAAGGCAGCCAGTGTAGTGCATTGATCTGAGTGTTGGGCTAGGACTCCAGGAAACCAGGGCTCAAATCCTTACTGTGCTGTGGAAATGTATTAGGTGTAGGCAAGTCACACTTTCAGCCTCAGATGAAGTCTAGGGCAAACCGTCTCTGAATAAATCTTTCCAATAAAATGCTGTGATAAGTTTGCCTTAACGTTGCTGTAAATTGGAAAAAAATATCAAAAATATACAACAAAGCTAGCAAAAGGGAAATTAGGTCTAATCTTAGAAAATACTGCTTAGTTCTTCAAACACTATTGGGCAGCCTTGCTCACATGGGTAAATTGTAAGGGGACTTCCTGATAACTCTTAGCACAAGGATTGGCAACACTGAGAGAGAAGAAAGATCAGCTTCCTCAAGTTCTCCCATTAAATATCATTAGTATGTGAGGAATTGAACCTGGCACTTCCAAGCTCCAGGTCAACACTGTAGCCACTGTATAACTCTGACTTTCAAATTAGAAAACAGATTACTGGGTGGACCACATGCCCACATTCATGAACAAAGTAGGGTGATTTCATGTTTAAAAACTTTATACTATAGGTACTATATTCTAGATGCAGGAGGGGGGAAATTATCATCCCCTTGCATCCCAGTGCAATAATTTTCCGAAGCAGCATCCAAATAACATGAATGTCCTATAGCAGAGACTAGGAGGAAAGAAGGCAAGACATGCTAGAAGTGCCTAAGGCACCCATAAACCTTTTGAAAGCAATGACCATTGCTTTATGGAATGTGAAAATTGTTTACCCGCCAGGCATTCCAGCCACACTTCTTACATATGGTTTACCTAAGTTGTTTTATAATTTATTGAGTTGTTTCTGATTTGTTTATATATTATTGTTGGCATTGAATGTTTGCCACTACACATTTTGTTGTGAACCGCCTTGAGGCCCTTCGGACTATAAATAAAGTTTCATTCATTCACTTTCCCACCTTTTCCACAGCTGAATTATGGGGAAAACAAGCAAGCAATGGAAGAGCTATAGTAGTTCTTGCTGAAATCACATCCTTTTAGTTATAATGGCTGGATGAGAAGGCAACTGGTTGAACCTAGTCAGTCACTCAATTTCTTCTCCCTCTCAAAGACTAGACCAGCTGTGTTACGAGATGATTATTCTGACCTCTGACCTCTTTTCCCACCTATTGCTGGTCCTGCCCATTAGGTGACAAAAAAGTAAATCAGTCTGACATCCATAGAGAACATGCAGGAGCATTTTCAGCTGGAGATGTCTTCCAGCAGCCTCTCCTGGTTAACCTGGTTGCCACAATATGTCATTTCCAATTACCAGCCTATTCTGGCTGAGATGTTGAGAAATAAAATCAGACAACAGACAGCAAGGAATTGTCTTAAGGGTTTTTGCTTTTCCTAAATCCTTCTTAGATTAGATGTCTTTCGCAAGAGGTCATGCAATGATATATCCCCAAGGATTGTGCAGAATTATGCTATAGAACACACACAATTCACACAAATGTCATTATTTTCTATGCAACTTCCAACCAGTGATTGTTCTTATAGAATAAGCTCAAGGGATGTTGTAACTGGCCCTAAGATGCTGTCTAGCACAGATAGGAGCTCTAAACTGTTTTCTCTCTTCTTACCTCTTTTAAATATTTTGATCAGGCCCCATGTTAGCCACCCCGAGTCCCTTTGGGGAGATGGAGACGGGGTACAAGAATAAAGTTATTGTTGTTGTTATTGTTGTTGTTATCTTGACAGAAATTTTTATCCTGTCCTACCACCCTCTTTGTCTCATTCTGGTAGGAAGGTGATGGTGCTAGTTCTGACATGGGTGCAGGCAGCTGGAGGGCTTTCACTTCCACTTTCAGATTGCATGAAAAGAAGAGAGCTAGAGGTGGATCTTATACTATCCTCACCCATGTTTGATAGTTAGCCTCGGGGCTTTCATTTGATATAGCAACCCTATTGTGTGGGGGTCTCTCTAATCACTCAAACTGCTTCCACCCTTTCCTATGTTAGGGTATGCTTGTGAATGAGATCATGCGACTCAACAGCCAGGTGGATGGACTACTATTGAAAGAAGTGTTGGTTTTTGGTGTACTCAGCCCTCCGCATACTGTCCTGGCAAATGGTACTCCCATCTCAGACTTTTCCTACCGCACAGACACCAAGGTAGGTATATCTCGGTAACACTGCCTCTCTGTTCACAAGTGATTTGCCTATGCCAAGTTCTGTGGATATGAACCGTATGAGTTCATAAGACATGATGTGCTAATAAAAATGCAGTGTTGCAATATAGATTTGGAAAGGAAGGACCACTTTAGGCAGAACTTTACAGCCCACCTCCTGTCCTCTTGCATCATCACCAGTTCCTTTATTTATTTATTTATTTATTTATTTATTATTCAAACTTATATGCCGCCACTCCCCTGGGGCTTGGAGCAGCTTACAAGAACAGGCTAAAATCTAACACAATTTAAAAACAATTATTGCAACCCCTAACTCAGAAAATAACTTTATGAAATATTCCCAAGGCTAGGTTGCTGTGAGTTTTCCAGGCTGTGTGGCCATGTTCCAGAACATGGCCATACAGCCCAGAAAACTCACAGCAGCCCAGTGATTCCAGCCATGAAAGCCTTCAACAACACATTCCCAAGGCTGTGATGTGCTAAGATAGGGGTTGTATAGATATTCTGATTGTTATAAAAATGCTTGGGTGCTAAATGTTTATTCTGTCCTTAGTATAGCTGGCCATATTGTTTGAAATAAGACACTTCCCAAATATATATGGCTGTTGCTGTGAACAGCATCCATGATATTGTCACTCAAAAATCAAAAGTCTGTTAAGAGGTATGGTGCCTCCTTGCATTGGAATGTATTTTGTGAATTGTTGGGCATCGAAGTGTGCCTTTTGTAAGCCGCCCTGAGTTCCCCCTAGGGGGTTGAGAAGGGCGGGGTAGAAGCACCCCAAATAAATAAATAAATAAAATATTTCTGTTCATGATTAATGCAGAGCTCAGATGAAAGTCTCAGTTAAGTGCACCCTACTACAACTCCAAACACCACTAGCTAGCACAGCAAATTTTGAAGGATACTGAGAGTTGCAGTCCAACAACATCTGAAGAGCCACACTTTTTCCACCCCTGTATTAAATGAATTTCTGATTCTGCGCAATGGTTGACAGCAGCCCCATTTAGATATGGGGCAACTAATGGAACAGTTGGAGATATGCATCCTAAACAGGGAACAATTTGTGCATTCATTGTCTCAAGCATCCCCCTCCTCTACATTGTGAAATCATTTGTGCTCCATGAGTTCCAGGGGAAATGGCATGACCCCTTTCCCTTCACTTTGATTTTGAGAAAGTTGTTTTGAGCAAAGGTCACAACCTTCCTTTTGTTGTTTCCTCAGATCCTTAACATCCCACTTTCTCTGCTGATGGGAGAGCAATTTGTCATCACATGGTCTTGAGCCAAAGAAGGAAAGCTCATTCATTTCACTGGACGGTAATGAAGAAGGAACAGAAACAAGTAGTAAAATGTGCAGGGTGTTGTCTTGTGCACAGCCTTAAAACTGTTTGGATCATTCATCTAAAAGTGTCTTTCAGAAGTGAATTACTTCCTGGAACATTGTAAAAGGAAGCCAAAGTCTCCAGGCATCTTCTTTAATCTTCATTTCAGCTGAGTATTGAACAATTTTAGCTTTACTTGAACGCTACTGAATTTCATGGCATATTTGTCAAATGCCTTACACATTTTCAGTGTTTGCTAGGTTTTTTTTTTCCAACATAATTTTCACAAACAAGCACAATATCTGCTGCTTTGTTGTGGTGGATCTTGCTTTACTGGAGTTGCCAGACAGAGGGGAAACCTTGGTCTCAAGCAGGTATGGAAGCCAGGTTGACAGCTGCTATATCAGATTCCAGGTTATGCTATCTTTGGGAGTTGTTAATTTACTCTATTTATTTACTCTATTTGGCGCCCCCAGTGGCACAGTGGGTTAAACCCTTGTGCCAGCAGGACTGCTGACCAACAGCAGGGGGCATGAGAGAAGCCTCCCACAAGGATGGTAAAACATCAGACACTATTAAAATCACACCATCCTCAATTATAATCCGAGGCCACCTCCATTGCCTGTAATAATCCAGGACCAAACTAAGGGCAACAAGCAGAAAATACTTCCTGGATTTAGAGACGGTTGTGATGTTCATTGCAAACACTATTTTCTCTCTCCACACCATCAATTCACTAACAGTGGAGCCCAGCCAAAAGCCTGCTTCAAATACAGCTACCAGAGCTTGCATTTCTGCAGACATGGGACTTGTATTTCCAGAGCAAAACATTATCACACAAGAATGAAGCTGCTTCCTGTGGCTTTATTGAGTTGGAGAGAAGTAGAAACTGCTTGAAAGTGATGCTCTTATCCAAAATATAAAGCTTTTATCCTTTGAGACAGATATATAAAGAAGAAAAATGCCGGTTAACTGGAAATTTAGGAAGGGCAAGAATATTCTTTGCCTCTTTGAAATACACTGAAGCTTGAAATGCATTTTCACTACCAGTTTAAAGAGAGTTATGTGTGTGCGTATGTATGTAGTAATTCCAATAAATATTTTTCTTTAAGCCTGTGTTTATCTTCATTGGTGTTGAAACTATTACACAGGGGCAGAAGATTTAAAGTGACAAAAGTAATAAAAAGTGAGGTAAAAGAGCAGTACTCTTTGGGCCTGTTTACACCTGAACAATACTCTTATTTGCACCATATTTTCCTGATCCACTTAGACCTTGCGTTCGTAGAGCCACATGCAGCATACATATCAGGATGAGTCCATCTTCAGTAGCCACACTTGTCCCCTGTGCAAACTCACCTTGATGTGAGTTTTTTCAAGAAAGTTCCTCTCATTTGTAGCAATTTCATTTCTTTCTTTCTTTTATGCATGTGAATGTATGTATTTCACCTCTTGCAGACAGCCACATGGACAAAATGGACCTCATTTGGATCTACGACAAGAATGTGAATTGTTATTCTATTATTACTATTATTATTATTATTATTATTATTATTATTATTATTATTATGTTTATTATGTTTATTATGTTTATTTATACCCTGCCTTTTCTGTCCACAAGGAGACTCAAAGTGGCTGAATGTGGAGTAAAAGTCTATTCTCTTTTAAGTGGTTCAAAGAAGTATGAATGTTGTGTGTCAGGAGAGCAGCCAATACAAGGTGACTATGGCTGACCCTTCTATCACAGATCCCTTTAATATTAACAGATTCCTTCCATTTCTTGGTTTTTGTATTCACTTATAGTTTATTTCTTTTATTTATTTATGCCTTTCTCCTTGAGAGGACTCAAAGCGACTAAAAGCCAAAAACTGATCAATTTAAAACAAAGCAAATACAGAAATAAAAAAAACCAAATTAAACAGTACTGTGTAGGTAGATTAAAAATATAGTTAAAATCCAATAAGTACAATTAAAATGCATTTTAAAATACACTATGACCTACACAATCCCACCCACAACACGTCCCTTATCCTTCTCCAAATGCCTCCTGGTCTCTCTTGGGAGTTCCACAGTCTGGGAACAGCCATCAAAAAGGCCCTCTCCCATGTTTCCACCAAATGTGCTTGGGGGGAGGGAGGCAGAGGACAGAGAAAAGACCCTCCCCAGTAGATCACAGATGTCTACCAGCTTCATAGAAGAGTTGTATTCCTTAAGATAACCGCACCAGAGTCATTAAAAGAGAGTTATAGGTCAAAACTGGCACTTTGAATTGTGCTCGGAAATGTGTTGCCAGCCAGTGGAGTTGCTGCAACAGAGGAGTTGTCCACTTCCTGTAGCCAGCCCCAGTTAGCACTTTTCTGAGCACTTTTCAAAGGCAGCCCCACTTAGGGCGCATGAGAGTAGTCCAACCAGGAGCTAACCATGGCATGTACCACCGTGGTCAGATTTGATTTCTCCAGGAACAGGTGCAGTTGGTGCACTAACTTTAAAAGTGCAGAAAGCAATCCTGGTCGCTGCCAATACCTTGGTGTCCAGTTTCAGAGCCGATCTAGGAGTACTCCCAAACTGCAAACCTGCGTTTTCAGGGGAGTGTAACCCCATCTAACATAGGGTGGCTCCTTATTCCCAGATCTGTCTCTGGGAATAAGCACCTCTGTCTTTTCTGGATTAAGCTTCAATGTGTTTGCCCTCATCCAGTCCATTATAGCTGCTAGGCACCAGTTTAGCTCTGGAACCACTTCCTTGGAATTAGATGGAAAGGAGTGATAGAGTTGGGTGTCGTCTGCGTTTAGATGGCACTGCTCTCCAAAACTCCAGATTACCTCTCCCAGCGGCTTCATGTATATGTTGAACAGCATGGGGGACAACATGGAGCCCCGAAGGACCCCACAGACCAATGGTTAAGGAGTCAAACAGAAGTCCTCCAGTACCACCTTCTGGGTACAGCCCTCCAGGAAGGAACAGAGCCACTGAAGAACAGTACCTCCAAGCCCCATCCCAGAAAGGTGACTCAGAAGGATACCAGGGTCTATGATATTGAAAGCAACTGAAAAGTCGAGGAAAACCAACAGGGACACACCCCCATGTCCAGTTCTCTGCATAGGTCATCCACCAAGGTGACCAAAGCTGTCTGTCCCATAACCAGTTCTGAAACCAGATTGAAATGGACCTAGTTAATCTGCTCAATCCATGAACCCTTGGTGTTGAGAAGCCACCAAACACTCCAGTACCTTTCCACAAATGGGAGATTGGAGACCAGCCTGTAGTTGTCAAGGATAGTGGGATCCAGGGAAGGTTTCTGTAGAACAGGTCTTACTACAGCTTCTTTGACGCCCGTGTGGAGTCACTTCTAATTCAAAACAGGACACGTGTTTTCCCATCTAGGTATTGACCTGGCCCAGACTGATTTGACTTATTCAGATCATTGTCATGGCCACCGCAAAATTGTGGAATCAGATAGGTAGCAGTGATGATATCCACTTTCCAAAAGTTGCTGTAATTTTAAGGTCACACAGATATGAAAATAATGTACTCAGTCAGAAAAATATAGTTACCTGAGATAAGAGAAAATATTATAGAAGTAGAACTTAACTTAGCTGGAATTGCAAATCCAAAAATACTCTAAATTGTTCAAATTGGTGGCTTTGCTTTCTGATGTCTCAGTGTATGCAAACTTTGTTTCATACATAACATTATTGAAAACATTGTGCACAAAATTACCTTCAGGTATGTGTATAGGGTGTACATGAAATATAAATGAATTTCATGTTTAAATTTGGGTTCTGTCGCCACAGTATCTAGTTTTGTACATACAAGTATTCTGAAATAAGGGAAAACTACAAACATTTCTGGTCCCTAGCAGTTTGGATAAGAGATAATCAACCCGTATTTTACAATAAAAATCTATAAGATCTGTATGACTCACAGGTAAATGTATATTTCATTTAGCTCCTCAACACTGGCTTTTTTTAAAAAGAAGAAACTAGATATTCATGTTCACTTCTATGTAGGGAGAAAACCATAGTCAAAGTAAAGGGAGGCATGTCTGTTTTGCTTGAAAAACACATGCTTCAAGTGGAGGACTATCCTCTATTTTAGAGAGAGGGACTTCTCCTTCATCCTCCCATGACAGATTGCCTCACCAGTTGGGAATAAACATCTGTATTTTTCCAGGAAGATTTTGAAGGCACATTTAAACATTTAATAACTCTGTATGGTCTCTCAATCTTCATAATGCTTGCTTAAAAGTTGGAAGAGGAGTGTTTCTCTTTGTCATTTACTATTTCTTGTCTCCGTCGTGCTAGTTTGGGAGTCACCTACTTGTGGGTTTCTTTCATTCATGCAAATATGGATTTTCCTTCCAGGAACTTAACCAACTCTTCAATTCCCAGCTAGGTAGAGCTTCTGACTGGACCTGTAGGTATTTTGATAGGCACTTCCCTCCCAACAAAAGAAAATTTCCTCACAGAAGATTTGTATCTGTTGCAGTCACCAAGGAATATATTCAGGCTGGAAATATTTTACTATTGAGAGTAAAGGTCAATGAATACACCAATCTCTCCTATAATAAATCATAAGACAATTCTTCAGTCTAGCTCTATTGTGATTGGTAGCGGCAGCTCTCCAAAGCCTTTAAAAAGTCTCTAATAAAAACTATATTTTTATCTGAGGAAATTTTAAGACAATAGCTTGTGGTGCTGATGGTGGTGGTTTGCTGATGCAGAACTAATCTGGCATTTTAGGAAAGAGAAGAAAGGCAAGAATTCAAAATTGTGGTGCTATATTCCACTTTCTTTCTTTAAAATGTTCATCACCACATTTCTTGTGGGTTTCATCAAGCTGAGCAAAGAAGTGCCTCTTTCTTGTTGCCCCATGGCTTTGCGGTTTGCTACAAGACTTGAAACTAGTTCGGCTTTTCTGTAGTATGTGGATAACAGATATGTTACGTTAATGTGTTTCACATCCTCAGTGGGCATAAATGGACTGAAACACAGACCCTGAGGTGCATTTCCAGGGAGACATTACTACTTTTGCAGATCAAAACCAAAGATTCTATATAGCCCTTCGTTCTGTTTCCATTATTTCTAGGGCCTAGACCTCAAAAGGAAGCTCAAATTTTGGAACAGGTTGATCATAACTATTAGCCTTGAGGGTGTTGAATGAAAGGCTTTAGACCTGTAGTTTTCAACCTGTGAGTCCCCAGGTGTTTTGGCCTACAACTCCCAGAAATCCCAGCCAGTTTACCAACTGTTTACCAAGGATTTCTGGGAGTGCAGGTCAAAACATCTGGGGACTCACAGGTTGAGAACCACTGCTTTAGACAGTGTCATCTGGGTGCTTTGAAGTTTTCCAACACATCTTTTTCTCCAGTAATGGTAATGAATAAATCAACAAGCTTGTAAATACAAAACGCTGGTGATGGTAAATCCTTATTTGTATGTCTTCAGTACCAGTACTTGGAGGTATATTGATCGTAAGCAGTGAAGGGGGTAACCTGTGGTCCTCTTGGTATTATTTGGTTGCATCTTTCTACAGTTGTTTCCATTGGCCATGGTGTCTAGAGCTGATGGCAGTTTCAGCTCAACACCTAGAGGCCCACAGGTTGCTCTCCTTCAAGGACCACAGGAAGATGTCTTGCACTGAGTTAGGCCATGGATCCATCTGCCCCAGAACTGTCCACTCTACTGATGGGAGGTCATCAATGAATAACAGATATGTCATATTGGACTATGAAAGATTCTGTAAGTTAGAGTGAACAGTTCTGGGACAAACCCTGCTTAGCCTTGACAGTCAGGCTGGATTGAGAGTGTGTTCAAGGTGAGAAGGTGGCATGAGGCCCAAAGCCTCAGCATAGCATTTTCATTTGATTTCTATACCTAGATATCATTGTTCTATATTGACTTTGCTTAACTTTAAAAAATCAAGCCTATTGTTCATCACCACATTTCTTGTGGGTTTCATCAAGCTGAGCAAAGAAGTGCCACTTTCTTGTTGCCTCGAGCTAACACCAGTCACTATCATGGCCAGCCTTGTCTCCTTGTATCTTAGCAGAAATAAGAGAGCTCTTCTACTAATATTGGTCACAGAACTTAAGGAACACATATAGCATAACCGTAGACATGTTTCTGCTCTGACAAAAACCCCACCGTAGGGTTGCTTTCAGATAAGCAGGTTGTTGGAATACATAACAGTTTGATTGTCTGCTTAGTTTAAAGCTGGCCTTCCACAACCTGGTGCCTTCAAGTAGAGTTGAACCCCGAACTCTGCCATCCCAGCAGTACAGGAGTTGTTTTGACTGAATGCTGAAGAGAAAACAACTGGGGAGTACCAGGTTGGGAAGGGCTGCTTGAGGCTTGTCCAAACAAGTGAGCATTACAGAAGCAAAGTCTGTTGTTGGTGTAGAAGAGGTTACCTAAGCCAAAATAGAACAGATTGTATTCTTGTGACGAAACTAGAATTATTGTTGATGTGTTTTTGTTTCTCTTGGGAGCTGCACTAAATAGCTATATTAAAACACCCTGATTTAAATTACCTTACCAATGTCATCACTATTATTTCTCATTCCTCATTTTTATCTATAGGTTCACCCTACTGGCCAAGAAGTGAGTAGAGACTGTCTTCCCACCTGTGCTCCCATCATATACTAATAGAGTACCCCTGATGGCTGATGGTTCCAAACCTGGCTGAAAACCCAGATATTAATATAATAAAAATAGACATGTGATATAGTACCATTGCATTCTATAGATGTTGTTTCCAATGAAACTCGGGTTTATCACTGTGTATTATTACCAAAAAAATAGCCATTAAAGTTAATATCTCTCTGATCCATTCACAAATGTGAAACCAAAGTGAGACAACATTAACTGTTCACAGAAAGGAAAAATGCCTTTAAAAAAAACACAAACCCTGAAACTTATAGTTTAGGAGATTTAATCCAAAAAAAGGAAGTTTCCAAGATCTGGATCAAAGCAATGACGTTGCTTTAGATCTGCATGGGTTTTGTATTTCCACCCCCTAATCCAGATGCATATCTCTGTCTCTTCTGTAGCTAAAGGTGAGCGGAAGTAAGCTCTCTGGGTGCTGAAGCCTGACTGTGCTGCAACCTTGCCCTGCACCTCCAGTGGTTTAATGTGTCTTTTAGCCTGGCACTATGCCCATGAGGAACTGCTGTTGGAAACTTCAAATCTCCATGGCAAGTAGAGCTGGCTTGCCTGAAAAACCTGCTTGCCTGCTGCTCTTAAAAATCATTCTTTCTCTCCCTTCCTCCTTCCCAGACATGCAGCTGCCCATAACAACATTCATCATTGTTGATCGCTGGGATCAGGTAAGACCAAACAGGATTTCTGCTTTTGCTTTCAACTTTTCCTTCAAATGTGTTGGCATGAAGGAAAGAAAGGCTGTTACTCAGTGCTACAGTTAATGTATTTCTGACCCTTACAATATTTATAGTACACCTTGGGTAAAAGAGGTGAAGGGAAAATAAGTTCAGTATCTTGAAGCAATCCGCCTAGTCTTCAAGCATAGAGTCCATAGCAAATTGGTAGAAAAGACCCAGAGACTAAATAAAGGGTGGGAATCATGTGAGTTTACAGATATTGGTCAGCAGTTCTCAGGATTTTTCACCATTGGCTATGTTGGGTAGGAAAATTGGGATTTCAGATATCGTTGTGAGCCTTTAGAACATTTCTGATTTATGGCAACCCTAAGGCATGCCAACCTTGGGGTTTTTTTTGGGGGGGGGTTGCTATTGCCTTTCTCTGAAGCTGTGAGGGTTTGACTTTTTCAAGGTCACCCAGTAGGCTTCCATGGTTGAGCAGGGATTTGAACCCAGGTCTCCCAGAATCTAAGTTCAAGATGCAGACTGCACTGGTTTTCTATCAACATATTGAAAAACATACAAATCATATCCTAGACTAAATGTCAGATATGACTCCTGGATTTTATCATTGCTGTTACCTGACCAATTCCCCACCTTTACTACTCACAGTTTACTCACTACTCACCTTTACTACTCACTTTACTACTTTACTACTCACTTTACTACTTGCTTTACTACTGAGTACTTTACTACTCACAGAAAGAGCAGAACTGTCCATACCATTAGGCAGAGAGAGGCAACTGTTTTGGGCAACAGGCATGGGGTGCCATGAAAGGGAAAGAGGTCCTTCAGCAATTTCTGCCCTCTTGTGCTGTGACTAGAATCCCCAGTTGTTATTCTCTTTTTACCTTATTTCCCCTGAACTGGAACATTCTAGTTTTAGTTCACATCTCTTTCATCACATTTAATCTGCAATTCTGTCCTATCTTGGAAAATGTCCAAGTGTCTTCTTATTTTCTGTCTGTCATATTCCTACCTGCAGTGATTTGACAATATATGTAACTGTGGACTAGGCTTGATGTTATGGAGAAACTCAACAGTCCCAATTATACATTCTTTTAGAAAATGTGGACGAAGGCAGGCACACATATGTGGATGTGTGACCCTTCAAGTTGCCTATCAATTTATGGTGATCCCATAAATTTCATAGGGTTTTCTTAGGCAAGGAAGACTCAGAAGTGGTTTGCCATTAACTCTAAATTACAGTTAGCTCTCTATAGCCATGGATTCCGTATCCACAGATCCAACCACTCACAGCTTGAAAGTGTTTTTTTTTAATTCAAAAATCAAATCTATATTTTGGCATTTCATATATACAGGACACCATATTACTACATTGCATCTGAATTGTTTTTTCAGTGGAGGGGGGACAGGAGACGGGACCTCAATATTGCCAGACTGATTGTTACTCATTTTTGTGTATTTACAGATGTGTTAGAGAAAGTACACGTTACTTTTCTCATCCATTGTCACTGAAAAATCCTTAGATATGAAGACTCCTACAAGTGCAATATATTCTTAGAGGAAACCCTCAATGTGTTCAATGTAGCTTAATCCAAAGTAGGTATGCATAGAATATATTTTTGTCGTGTTTTATTATTCCAGGGAACGCTTCATGAAAATTGTTTTTTTTTTAATTATTTTTAATACCTGATCTTTTAGTACCCTTCCTAATGTCAGTTCCCATGAATGGTCAATGATACAGAGGTCTTGGTGATACCGTGCTGCAGGTCATTTAATCTCAGCCTACCAGCCTAGTTGTAGGAAGATGTAAGCCTCACTTCACCCAAATTTGATGGTCCAAGATCTCAGATTCTTTTCAGCCTTTCTTCCTCAAAATTATAATTTTCCCAGGTTGCCTAAACATTTCTCGGTATGAAATAGAAACTTATGTTGGCATGATTCTTCACCAAGTTGTACTTTACTCTGTTAACTCCTTAAACTTTTGCAAATATCATAATTACAATATTGTTCTCTGCCACTCCTTGGTCCTTGAACTATGAAGGTAGAAAAAGTTTTTATAGTAGGATAATATTTTTGTCTTATCTCTTCTATGGAGTTTCCTTGTCTTCCTCCTTCAATGCCTTGACATATGAGGTATGCTTAGCACCTCACTGTGGCCCATAAAAGGACCATATTGTTTTGTTTCTGGTGGTGCTGGCGGGCCTTCCATTTCTGATTTACAGTGACCCTTGTGGCATTTACTTGGCAAGGTTTATTCAGAAGACAGTTGTCATTGTCCTCTTCTGAGGCTGAGAGAGTGTGGTTTGTAGGGGGTGAGTTTCCATGGTTGAGTTGGATTCAAACCCTGGTATCACAGTCCAACACTCAAACCATTATGTTTTATTCATTTGTTTTCTTTTTTAAAACTATCAACTGCCCTTCAGACACAAATCATCTCCAGCTGGTTTATAACACATTTAAAAGGAGTATTTAATATAAAAATCAGACAATTATAAATTAAGAAGCATGTAAAAATTTCAACCAGCAAGCTTATGAAAAAACTCACCCATTGCTTTTTGCAAAAAAATGAAAATTTGAACTTAAAGTGCAGAAATTTAAAATGTCCACCCAAAAAGGAATTATTTATATATGATCAAAAATGAAAGCAAGATGAGTGCTGATATACCTCTTTGTGGGAGTTTCTAGATTTTGGACCTGAAAGAACTTTCCTTTGTGAATTCATTTTGGGCTTTTCCAATGATAGTGATATATTTGAAGGATAGTCTTCTTTCAAAATCTTAATCTGGATGGAAATTCTATAGAATGACATTTGCTATTGACCTACAACTCCAAGCATTTTTAGCCAGCATGGCATATCCACCACTGTTTGACAGATGGAAACAGGGTCACTTGTAGTCAAGCAACACTGTGGTCAAGATGGCAAAAGTTATTAAACAGGAAGGATATGCTATGAGAAGCTGTGGCTGTTTTGCCTGAGCTTTCTTGGAATGGCCAGGTTCCACCACTTCCACTTCTCTCCTCTGCTTCTCTGATGAATTAACTGAGTGCAAACTACTTTTGCAGTTTGAACTGGGCTTGCAACATATGATGAAATCCGAAGACAAAAGGAGAAAGTGGGCGGAGGAGAAAAAACTGGGACATTTTTAAAGGAAACTAGAATGGAAAGGAATGCTTGGAGTTGTAGGTCAATAGCAAATGTCATTCTACAGAATTTCCATCCAGATTAAGATTTTGAAAGAAGGTTAACTGACGCTCTCCATGGCAAACCATAATAGTTGGAGAGTATGGTGTAAACCAATGGTTCCCAACCTGTGGTCCACAAGAACTAAAATATGGTCCATGGCCTCACCATTACTACACCGTTGCAATGACAGCACCTGTCTTGCACAACCCTCTTATAATAGTACCAAGGCTTATGAAATATGGTTTCTATGGGTGAGCAGATGGCGACTATTTGATGGCATATGTTTTATATCAGAAACTAGAGCTGATGTGATCTAGCCAATGCAATTTTCTGAATCAGCACCCCAAATAATCAAACCAAATCTAAAATTGACCAAAAACTGATTCATAATCCTTTTGGAACTAATGTTGGAGTGTGGTCCCTGGTCAAAATGGTCCCTGGTCAAGTGGTCCCTCGTCAAAAAAAGGTTGGGAACCACTGGTGTAGACCAACTCAGTATGGTGCACTGGTTTGAGTGTTGGTCTAGCACATTGGGACACCAGGTTTGAAAACAGTTCTCAGTCATAAAAATCCCTTGGGCGGAAGGCAAGGTCAAGCCCCTCTGCTGAAAGAACCTCTAAGAAAAGCTTAAATACATCAGCCCAACTCCAATGATTTGTTCCAGTTAGGATAGACCCATTAAATTAATGACAGTGTAGGTTCCATTGATGCAATGAATATCCTCAGAATGGGGAAAAACATTAGCCCATCCAGAACACTGTATTCTGTTTCTGTACTTCATGGAGCAGAACAAGACATTACAGGGCACTAAATAATTTTCCCATTGGAGACTTTAATTCAGCCCCCTGATCCACTGCTCAACTGTGTCTCTTTTAAATATATTGTTAAGATAGATGTTAAGATACATTTTTAAAGATATATTTTCATTCATCATGCACCAGAGTGATAATTTTGAAAGCTCAACAGGCATATTGACTTATTTAATACTTAGGCGTGCTATACTAATGTTTTTACAATAGGTAATGTATGTTCATTTGCTTTTCCTTATATTTATTCTATTAATTCTCTCCACAGATTTCTTTGCATTGGCAGAGGGTGAATACAATATCAGCTCCTAGCAGTGTAAGGTACCTGTAGTTGTTTTCTGTGTTCGATTGCTGCTTGTTTTTTCTATCAGAGCCAGCTCCCATAGTATTTCTTTACATTTTTTCCAGTGGAAATTTCTGTGATTATATCTAATGAAATCTCATCAGCCTCCAATTGTCTTGTTCATTATTCTGCAGACTTATATTATGACCCTTGAAAATCTATAAGAAGTCTTTGAAATGATTTCATCTTTTTAAAAAAACTGTCTTCAGTCTTTCTATAATATTTAGGTCCCTGTATTTATGGAAAAAGAGCATCACTCACTTTTCAGATTCTCTAGTTTCATTCTAGAAAGAAAGAAAAAGAGCAATTACTCTAGTGCTGTATTCTGTATGCCCTATCAGACTTTGAGAGTTTGCTGTGTTTGTGCAAAATAGCAAACTGTACACAACTCTGAATTCAGCCAGTGCTTTTGGGGCTAATTTGTAGCTACAGAAATCAATGTGTAGTGTTACTGATATTTTGGATTAAATTGCAGAGGATTGTCACTTAACAATTCCAAAAATCATTTTTTCTGTGTAATGCTGGAATCTAACTGTGTGTTAGTTTGAAACAAAACTGTAGTTAATGAAATGTTATACAACAGAAGAGGTTTTTCTAACTTGTTGTGTGCAACACTCAAACCACTCATTCGAATCCCTAGCCTGGTGCTCTCCATTTTGCCCTACATCTCCCTTCTTTTCATGTCATTGGCCAGTTTGGGAGAAAGGCGGGATATAAATCCAATAAATAAAATTAGCTGGACTGGCTGGAATTTTTAGACCAAAACGCTTGGATACAGTTGGCGCAGGGAAGGCTGCCTTATAAACACTTTTGATTTCCATCTTTCCAAAAAGTACAAATGTCTCTTGTCCTTTCAGGTTCCCACAATGGCAGAGACAGGAGCAGATGTCCCTAATCTGGTAGACCAAGAGCTACGTGACATGGATGAGGAGCGTCTGTGGGAGATGGTGGACAGCCATCGCTACAGAATTGTGCGCGTTGTATCTCCAAGCCGTCTTACCCCATACTTGCGCCAAGCCAAGGTGTTTGGCCAACTGGATGAGGAGGAGGTGCTCCACAATCCTCAGTTCACAAACAGTGCCATGAGAGTGGGTGAGCAACCTGGGTGTGGCAAACTACACACTTATGGGATAAACAAGTATTTCCTCGTTGCTCTTCTTTTTTTAGGATTACTTATAGCACAGCGTACTAACTTTCTAGTGGGATCAGTTTAGCTTCCAGCCACAGGATGGGCTCTGCTAGTAACAAATGAGTAATGTGGGAAAGGAAAGCTAGCCATTGACTGAGACATTTAAATTGCCATTGTGTCCGTTGTAAGAAATATAAAGTATGCTTCTCTTTGAGCAGGATGAACCTTAAGGCTTCTCTAATGTGGGGCTCCTCTGTCCTTTTAAATTATTTTTTACCGTGCTCATTTCCAGGTCACATGCTGGATCTCTTGAAATCCCGTGGGAAAAATGGAGCCCTTGCTTTCCTGGAAAGCCTGAAACTCCACAACCCGGATATTTTCGTCCTCATCACTGGCTTGGAGCCTTCCATTGATCACAACCATTTCAGTGGTGAGCATTTCCACCCCCTGGACTGAACCCACCTCTATATAATGCTTCCTTCTGGATATAATTGGGTAGTGCATAGAACATTTTCCACCACAAAGTCGTAAGTTTCTTCTATACATTAGCAAGTCCCTAACTACCTCCCCCAGATAACTTCCTGACTGCAAAGATGTAAAAATAGCTATCAATTTGTTAACTTTTAGTGTTGCTAGAATTTTTCCAGCTGAGATAGAGGTGTCCGGTTCTGGAGCTGGACAAAGGTCTAAATGTTCTTTCCCTTTTCTGAGACCTGATTGAAAGCTCCCAGCTGACAGAATGCTTGGCCAAAGCAGTGAGCAGCCTCCAGGAGGAACTGAGCCAGGAGAAGCGGCAGAAAGTATCCCTGCTCCACCACTGTCGCAAACTGAAGGAGAGCACCTCCCAGCTGGAAGCCCGAGCAGAAAGCCTGCAGGGCATTGAGGCTGAGTGTAACCGCATGAAGCGGGAGCTCAGTACACACTTCCACGAAGCCCTCAAGCTGAAGGATGAACTTTATGGCCTCTCTTTACGCTACAGCAGTGCCCTGCAAGAGAAGGACCTGGCCATCACTCGATGCCAGAGCCTGCAGGAAGAGGTATGACAAGTGAATGGAGGTCAATTAGTCTTCTAATGGCAGTAACTGTCTACTATCGACACTGATATTTTTTGTTGAAATCTCCACAGTTTCTTGCTTGTGATTACTCCTGGCAACTTTTTACATGCTTGCAGTTTAAGTGGGCTATTAAAACCTGGAAAATAGCCCACTTTTCCTCTTTCTTGCCATGCTGTTGTTGGCTTTGTCACTGCTACTGCAGAATTAATAATAATAATAATAATAATAATAATAATAATAATAATAATAATATCGTTGTTATTGTTATTACTATTACCATCACCATCTTCCCACTTAATGAAACCATAGCAAATGCTTTTCCTCAGAGGAGGCTCAAAGTGGCTAACAGTAAAAAAAATATCAAACAATGTGCAGATTAAAATCAAAAGCATATAAACACTAAAATAGAAGAATAGTGGAACCAATAGAACCATTAAAATCCTATTAATTTACACAGCACCCCCTGGCTCGTTCTTAAAAACATTCAATGGTTTGGAATATAGACAACTCACAGCTAATGCTTACATGTAGAATTTACAGTATTCTACAAGTATTAGAGTGCATCCTCATATCTTAGCAGGAGAGCTCCTGTTCATAGTTCTGTTAATCAGCTATGATTTCCTCCAGGATTCGTAAATGGTCAAGGAGAGCATGCCCCTGCCCGTACACACACACAACTTTCACACTTTTCTCTTTATATTTTTTCATCTGACTATATGCACATTCCATGCCTATTAAGTTGTTTAGTTCTCTTTACTTGCTTCTGCATATCTCAGTGCTTTCCTGAACATACTAATGCCACTGTCTTATTTCTGGCTTTTTTGGCTCAGCTTCTGTTTAAGTCAGTACCTAAGCAAGAATTTAATGGTGTTTGATGATATTTCTGTATTCATAAGTCTTTGCTGGTGGCTTTGTTGGTCAGGTGAGATATGGGGAATATATATTCTGAAGGTGAACAATTGCCCACTCTGATTGAGAAAGTTCCCCGTGTCATAGTGAGTGTGACAAGCTGTTTGGCAAATGTTCTCCAGTACCTCTAATCTCTACCACCAATCCATTTCCCCTTTGCCTGCTTCTGTGAATTTCAGCTCTACCTGATGAAGCAGGAACTGCAGCGAGCCCAGGTGTCATCCTACTGTGAAAGGGAAAGACCCCCAAAGACTGCCTTGGAAGAGCTTCTGATGCTGAAAGAAGAAAATTCCCACCTCAAGTCTCTTGTGGACCTGGAGACCTTCAGTGTGGTAAAAAAAATATTCCAAACTTATGTCTAAGCACAGAGTCTTGCTGCAATTCAAAATTGATTTTGTATTCACTGAAGTGCTCCAGGTACTTATAAGAACTATGGTTCATGAAGGTGGATTATGGATCTTTAACTGATGTTTGTTACCAACCTCACCAAACTACAGTTTGGAAGATTATTTGGAAAATGCCAGGACAGACTGGTTAATGTAAGAACAGGGATAAAAAGGATGAGGGAAATACAACTTAAGGGCCATGTGGCTTGTGCACACTCCCAAAGTTTTGGGCCAAAAAGTATCTTTCAAAGTGAGAACCTGATATGTGCTGTTCTTGGAGTCATCTAACAGCAATAGTTTTGGTCAAACACACCCCACTAAAAAAAAGTCATCAACAGAGGTAGATTTACCCTGACTTTTAGGTATGATTTTAAAAAATAATTTAAAGGAGGGGCAGGATTGTGGCTTTCTATAGGTCGGAATAGACCCCTACACCTGCTGCAGTTGCCTATTTCTGCAATATAGATCCGAGGTAGAAATCGATCCTCAATGTGCTCATACAGGGATAGCTTTCTGCAGCCTTAAGCCAGAGGCATTCTCATAATTTACCATTGTGAAAGATGGTTGTGGCTGATTTCAGCAAAATTAAAGGTAGATTTGCACCACACAGTTCCAATAACTTATTTGATGTTTGTAGCTAATGGAGAAGGCATCTGGCATATCTACATGTTCGACAACTGCCTATTCCTTCCTAGGCAGGAGTGATGAGGTTGGGATGGAAAGCAGCTTGTCAAATCAGCACGTATCCCTTGTTTAGGTGCAGAAAGACATTTTAGAACAGAACCTGGATGATGCTCTAGAAGGCAAACAAGAACTACTGAACCGTATCCATTCTCTAAGGGAGCAGGCAGCCCTGGCTGAGAATCAACGCAAGAAGGTAAGAGTGTCATACTAGACGAAATCGTGGTTGTCCTTACTCAAGATGTAAGGCAGAAGGTCTCTTTTCCAGCATTTAGATTGGAGATGGGGCAACTGCAGCCCTCCAGATATTTTAGACTTTAGTTCTCACAATACTGTATCTTTAACTATGTTGGTTATGAGTGATGTGAGTTTCAGTGTGCCCAAACAGAAGATGCTTGGTATGTTAAACTCCCAAGATTTTGGGTTGGTGTAGGCTTTTGGGTTGGTGTAGGCTACCAAAATGTCCTATTAGTCCTACTGTATTTAGTCAGGAATCTATTCACACAGTTGCAGACAAAGAGACAGCTCCAAATTGTCCAGCTTTCTTGCAGTCAGTCTTGGCATCTTAACCCAGCAGAAGGCAATATGTTTGTTGCTACTCTGATTTCAGCAAATCCTTTTGCAATCAAAATAAAATAATGAAGACCAGTGCCTCAATGTCTTTAGAGCAGTGGGGTTTGTAGAGGGGAGGGCAGTTAGCTATTCCAGCTTATTGACACAACTAATGCAAGATTGATGTTCACAGTTCTTGCATGCAGCACAGCAGTTGAGGGCCTGAGATGTACATCAGAATACTGCAAAGCTAATATCAACAATGTACTTATTGAGTGAGTCTGTCAAAATATCACATTAGCTTCATTCCCTGAAATCAATCTGGAATACAACATGAGCCCTACCATTAAGTAAAGTGAGGCTGATAACTCAGGTATCTTCATACCCTGAAAGATAGTTGTGTCTTCCAAGATAAGATTGACTGCTACTTTAAGAAAAACAGAGGTGTCTGTCCCATCACCCGTGCTAGTGCCTGTCTGGCAAGGGAGAATGGCTAAGAGAGTGTCATCTTGCTCAAGCAGTGAAATATCTTTGACTGGCCCTACTGTCGCATGGACCTAAAATCCCATTTTATACTGCTATTGTGAAGGTTGCTAACCTCATGTACGTATCTGATATAAGCTTTCAGCATTAAGGATAAATATGTGATGTAAACAATTGAGACAATTATCTTGCTATTTATGCATCTCTAAACAGTGCTGGGAAGAAAAAGAACACACTTTGATAGAATGCCAAAGGATGAAGGTGGACTGTGAGATCTACAAGGAAAAAATCAGTGCCCTCCAGGCACAAGTGGCTGACCTGCAGAAAGAGAGAGATCAGGTATCTGGGCGGGAGATCTGACCAACAAGGAGAGGTAGCTGATTAGTCTGGGGACAGGAAGGCTGCCAAAATAAGGGAGAAGATGGCCCATTAATGGGAACCTAAAACTACAGAGCATTGTAGTAGTTTCAGAAATAACATGACAATTCATGATTATCACATAATATTAAATAGTAGGATTCATCACTTGTTTATTGTAAATTCAAGGCACATAGGATCTTGAGATTTAAAATGTAATTATTTATTTATTTGCTGTATTTGTATACCATCTTTCTCAGCCTGTAGGCGACTCAATGTAATCATCAGTTGTGACAAGATTTCCAATCTAACCAGCTGCCATATTTATTTTGGTAGCTGAAATTATCTGTACTACTCAAAGGTAATTAGCAGAAGTTGACCCAACTGAATTTTTTTACTTAGTTTTATACTATGTTGGACAGATGTCAATGCAGTTCCCTCAAGTTTTCCCTCAGGATTCATGTTTTTCTATTTGATAAGGACTGTAGTGGCTGCAATGATATTTTCTGCTGAACATTTCTCTACTTTGCAATAATGCCTTGTGGGAAATTTCAATCACTGTGAGATATTAGATCTCTTTGTCCATTTAGTACTGGCCCTTGAAGCATTATTTCTGCAGAATAGTTTCTACTGACTTGTTTTCATTTTAAAGCCCATGTTGTTGATATCATATCTCTGTCCTCTTACCCTAGGCCTATAGCGCTCGGGACACAGCTCAGATGGAAATTTCCCAAAGCCTCCTAGAGAAAGATTCACTCCGCCGCAGAGTCTTTGAGCTCACCGATGAGATCTGTGAACTCCGGAAGCAGGTGGGCCCAAATGGCTCAGCACTGATGGTGAGATTTGGTTGAGGTCAAGTCCCTATGGATGAACACTATTTAATCTCCAGATCCTTATTCTATTCCATAAAAAGCCCAATGTGTTTTAGACCATACATTGAACTGAATGCTGGGCTTTAAAAAAGAATAGAATACTCATTAAGACTTTTTAATGACAATAAGTATTTGGAGACCCATCACTTCCACTGTTATCCTGTTGTAATTATGATTTGCCTACCTCGTGTGATAAGCTCCATAGAGTTGTTTCCCATTATACTTCTTTGCAAGCAGCCCCTACTGCTCTCCTCCAGCTTCTCTCTCTGGATCAGCAGGTTCAGTGGAATGGACCCTCCAGCTCTGAACACAGGAAGCCTTGTCTGAAAACAAAACAGCGTTTGGTGCGCATGCATGCCATTTGTCCTCAGGAGGAAGACAAGCAGGATGGACTCTCAAGCATGTCTGAGGTATATGGATCAGAGCCCTCTCTACAACCCTTAACATGCTCTACAGCTGAAAAATGAGTTGAGTGACTATACAGAGAAGTTCATCTCACTTGTCCATTCCACTTCCTGTGAGAGCTTAAAGGCCTGTCTTCTTCCTAGGTCCCCTTTTTGGAGCAAGGGAAACCAAGGAACAAGTGACTTGTTCATAACTCTTAACTGTGATATTTGTCTTACCATGTTGGAGTATTCTTTTGGTTAAATAGACTTCTCTTGTTTCTCAGTCTTGGTCCAATTTAAGCCATACATCCAGCCAAGAGCAAGTTGAGAGCTTTCGGTCATGCAGCCCAGTCCCACCTTGCAAGTATTCCCTCCAAAGGAGAACCTTGGAAGATGACGCCTTTTCCATAAGGTGTGTAGAATATCAGGGCTTTGTGGTTTATGATAACCCTTGCAAGATGTTAGAAATATCATCAAAATGTTGATACAGAAAACTATTTTGCTAATCAGAGAAGTATATCTCCCAAATCCAGAGTTTTGCAGAAGTGGAGGACGATAGGAAGGGTACATAAATACTATGTTCCTTCTTGACTCTGGAAATCTGGGCAATAACTCCCAAGTAGTCTTTCTACGCCCTGATTATCTGTTTCCCATCTAGTTTCTTTACAGCCTGGCAGCTGGAAAGTTGCTCCCCTGTCTTTGTACACCATCAGATGCTGTGTAGAACAGGACAGTCACCAACAGTGCTGATGTCCACTAGGTGTATGGAAAACTGTTATAGTTCCAACCAAAGGAACCTATATAGGGTGTTTATGATTGTTTATACTATTTCTAAATTATCTGATTTGGGAAACATTTTTCATTTTTTTAAACTTCTAAACTATTCTGTGGCTTCTATTAATTCTGCTACAAAGAAAACAATGGCTGAGAGTTTGTGATTTGTGTTGTTGTAGGTGTTTCAGGCTGTATAGCCATGTTCTTTTTTTAATAGTCTTTATTAGATTTTCTATTAATACAAATTGTTAAAAGGATTTTAAGAATCAGATAGTTGAAAAGGGAGGAGAATAAAATGTAGGGGGAAAAGTGTAGGGTGGGGGGGGGAGAAAGGGATAGAGTAAAGAAAGATAATATGTGCAACAGAAAGGAAGAAAGAAAGAAAGCGAGTGCATTAAAAGCAGTATGAAACAGAAATCAAAAGTTCAGTTCTTTTTTCGGTCTGACTTAGCCATGTTCTAAAAGCATTCTCTTCTGACATTTCACCTGCATCTATGGCAGGCATCCTCAGAGGTTGTGTGATTTACCCAAAGACATCTATTGAACATATGGCATATGTAATAGTAGGAACAGGGTGTGAGAAGTCCTCCAGAACCCTTCATATAGTTAACTAGACTAGTGTGTCCATCTCTACAGAAGGCATATGCACTAAACCAGGTTAGATTCTTGGGTTCACAGTTTTTCATATCAGACATTTTCAGAATCAAAGGACTGGATACCAAAGGACTGGATACCTACTTTGTTCTTACCAAAGTAGGAAATATAGGCTTAGTGTTGGGCCCAAACAGTTTTAGATATGAGGTGTGGGAAGGATGCCTTACTTCTCTAAATCAGAACTACTCAAAGCAGTGTTGTCTTGACTGGTGCTGGTCCCTGACCCATTAGGTGCTGATTATTGCAGGGCTTCTAGAAAAGAAATAGCTGTAGTTCATTGGCGGCCATATCCATTAACAAAATAGATGTGTTTTGGGACATTACTTACTCAACAGAAACTTTGGCAACAGTGGTAGAAATGACATGGAAAGGATAGGTATAGGTTCCTTCATTACATAAAAGAAGAGCAGTTCAATAAGATTCTGCAAACTTTTCCCAAAACCAGTCTGCTCATGGGAAATTAAAAACCAAGTCAAGTAAGCCTTATATAAGTACACAGAAACATTTATTTTTTTGGGTTGTTGTAGGTTTTTTCGGGCTATATGGCCATGTTCTAGAGGCATTCTCTCCTGACATTTTGCCTGCATCTATGGCAAGCATCCTCAGAGGTAGTGAGGTCTTCACTACCTCTGAGGATGACCTCACTACCTCTCAGGATGCTTGCCATAGATGCAGGTGAAACGTCAGGAGAGAATGCCTCTAGAACATGGCCATACAGCCCAAAAAAACCTACAACAACCCAGTGATTCCGGCCATGAAAGGCTTTGACAATACATTTATTTTCTTTTTAAAAATTAACTTTATTTAAAAAGTTTTTAAAGTTACATTTAAAGTCAAAAACACTAATCAAGAAAAAAAATATAGAGTAGAAACACAAAAATGCCAAGAAAGAAAAGAAAAGAAAAAAGGAAGGAAGGAAGGGAAGGAAAGGAAAGGAAAGGAAAGGAAAGGAAAGGAAAGGAAAGGAAAGGAAAGGAAAGGAAAGGAAAGGAAGAAAATAAGAAAAGAAAAGAAAAGAAAAGAAAAAGTAGATGACCTCTGATCTTGGGAGGTGGGCTGGTTCTACTTGTTTTGCATTTCGTGCATGCTCAGTAAGGAATTCTTCAGGGAACTGCTGTTTACCTTGTGTATTGTAGGCAGGCACACACAGCTACAAGAGGATTGGCTTGAATAAAACCCTAACCTTTTCCCAGTTTAAGCTTCATTGCATTGTTTACAGCAGACATGCTGCTACACCTGGTTCAGAAAATCTGTGCTTCTCCAACCCTTCTTCACCATCCTCTGTATGCTGATAATGCTAAAATTGTCCAGTTAGGCAACAGATGAGGAAAAAGGGGGAGGTTGGGCAAGCATAAAATGAGTGTAAAAAGAAACATCTTTATTGGAGGTTTTGTTCACTGAGGCATGCCATTTTAATGCTGTCCCCTGGGAAAAAGCACATCACATCAGATAACATAAGCAGCACTGCTCAAAACCAGACTTCACTTGTAAAATAACACATATTTATATGTCTTAAATATGTGTTAATACTGGAGACAGGATTATGACACCCTGATTGAGGTGATTTCTTTAATTTGACACGCTGCAGGGATTTAACTTAGCTGTTTGTCTTCCATTGTTCTTACATCCTCTGTCTTCTTGTCCAGCAGTTCTCAGGAGTATCTGGAGGAGGATTTTTCTCTTGCCTCTGGGAAGAAAGTGGATGATCCCTCTATTGAGTTTGAGATGCTGGGAAAAGAAGGTAAGATTTCCTGAGAGAACCCACAACTTTTAATTGATTATGTTTGGACTAAGAGCAAAAAGTGATCACTTTGTTTCCATTTATTCAAATATTTCTTCATTACAGACGGTGCCTCTCTGTGGTTCCAGATGAACCCTTGCATCTCAGAAAGGTAACTAATGTGTACCAGGTCGCAAGTAGTTTGGGTCATAGTTTCCCACAGGCCCAGGGCTCAAATCAATGGCAGGGGAGCTACGGCTGCTTGACACATTCAGAAAATATACCCTCCAACTGTCCCAGTCTAGCAGGAGCAGTCTTGATTAATCCTCTGCTGTCATACTTTTTCAGCTCTTTTTAAAATGCTCCAGTTTCTTTTTGTCTCCTCCAACTTTCCCTCTTCAATCTTAGCTTGCTTCAGTTGCTGTGAACTGAGTTCAAAGTGAAAGTCAACAAGATACGTAGTTTCTCTTCTATTAACTCAGCAGAGAGTAAAAAGGGTAGATGAAGGGACTGAGTGCTGCTATCCTGAAGACTCAACTGCAATTTGTGATTTGTCATGCTTTCCTAAACTCTGCTAGTAAAATCTAGAGTTTCTCTGATTAAAGTAATAATTTTCTGTATTCTTTCTCATTAATCATTTGATTTCATTGCCTGGCCAACCCCTTTTCACTATACCCCCATGTTCCTCAGGCACTTGTATTATAGTTTCCATCTATGACATGGTGGAGAACATGATCAGTTCTGGCAGGTATTGATCAAAGACAAGGGAAGTAATTAACTAGATTCCATCTACAAAAATGATTCAGATAGCACACGGAGAGAACTGAGATTGTTAATCAATGAATTAATTGGAATGCAAAGGTGTATAGGTAGTAGGCTGCAGGCAAAACATGGGGAAAGGGCATAAAGATTTAAGTGGGAAGGTTACACTTAAACAAAAGGCCGATAATCTGTTGTTCAAGCAGAGGATTATCAGATTTCCTGGAAGCAATTATACTCCTAGGTGTAATTAAGAACCAGTTGCCTGCAATCCAATAATTTAAAAGAACTTCTACATACCTGAGTTCATGGATTCTGCTTCCATTTCTTCTTTTTCCCAAATGAATAAGTAAACCCACATGGTATAGTGGTTTGAGTGTTGAGCTAAAAGGGTTCAAGTCCCCACTCAGCCTTGGAAATCCTCTGAATGAGCCTGGGCAGGTAACACTATCTCAGAAGGAGGAAATTGCAACCTTCCTCAGAATACATCTTGGCAATAAAACTGTATTTATGGGTCACCATGAATTGAATTCAACTTGAAGACACATGACTCAAGCAATGGCCACAAACTGTTACACTGTTCATTGAGATCTCTCTCTCTCTCTCTCTCTCTCTCTCTATATATATATATATGTCAGAAACTATAGCATATTGTTTGCATCATGTATAATACTGGTGACTGAAATTTACATAATAATTGCAAGTGGCACTAGTTGTCACATTGACTACATCTAAATAAGTAATTCTAGTTCAGTTGAAGCTAAGTTTAAAAAGTTATACTACTGTGGGCAAAAAGAATGAAATGATGTATATTGTGAGATGAGTCCAGAGACTTCTATGGCCATTGTTTTTTTCTCCTCTCCTCAGTGTGCCCATGCGTCGTCGACCTGCTCAGCGCTTTCCAAGTCGCATCACCACAATCGCATTTCAAGCTGATGCTTTACTGGAACAGATCAGCATTATTGGTGGCAACCAAAGTGGCATTTTCATTCATCATGTCACACCAGGCTCTCCTGCTGATGAGATGTCTTTATCCCCAGGCCAACAGATTATAATGGTGAGATCTTACAAACGCTTCACTGCATATCATATTCTCTGTTTTACCCTTCAAGGTCCTATATGCCTTCTCCTCATGGAGATGGTACATGGTATCAGTGGAATTTAATTTAGTCTAGGAATGAGAGAATCCAACAGTTTCAGTTTATTCATTTCTTATTTTCCTGGTCATAAGATATGTTTGCAGCAACACTTTGAAATTTATATTCATTATTTGTATTCCTTCAGTATGTTTTTATACATATTTTCTAATTTGCACACTTCTTGCAAGTGATTTCCTCAATGTTGTTGTTGTTGTTGTTGCTGTGTGCTTCCTTATTAAACAAATCAGTTCAAACTTTGTAATTGTGAACTACCAGCAAAATTCTGAGATGTGCAAGACTTTGGCATGTGAATGTATTCTAATTTGTGTATGGGCTCAAATTTGTAAACCAGATAGGTTTGTATCAAAATTTGGATTGGATGAATTTTTCCACCATCCTCTGTCATGACTAACCTAAATCCATTGATTTCCCTCCCCCCCCCCCAAAAAAAAACCCCTAATGAATAAAGTTGTGGCAATGAGATTTGGTTCCTGGACACTCTGTGGATACAAAAATCCATTAATGCTCAAATCCCATTATATGCAGTGGCATAGTAAAATTGTGTTCCTATAAAATGGCCAAATCAAACTTTACTTTTTGGAATTATTGTTTTTAAAAAATATTTTAATGTTCTGGCTGGTAGAATCTTAAAGGCAGAATCTGTGGATACAGAGGGAAAAGATTGTGTTGTACTCTGTCCCAACTTGGTGCTTGATGTTCCCATCTGTTCCAAGGTTGTTCATCTTTTGGAGTCCCTTCCATAACTTGCTTTGGTACACAAGCAAACATTTATTTTAAAGTTAGAACCATTTATCTTAAAATGTTTAGGTGGATTATGGAGTCATAGAACCAGGCTTCAAAGCTCTCCTGGAGGAGGCAACACTGGAGGAGGCTCTGTGTGTCCTGGAGAGAGTAAATGGCTTCTGTTGTCTGTCTGTGAGGCCGAACATGGAAGGTAAGACTCTTTGTCTACAGTTCACTGTAGTTTGTTCTCAGATTGTACTGGGGCTCAATGGTTTCTCCCAAGGTAGCCTGACCATGAAATATATCTGGAAGTCCTGGGAAATAGACTATTACTTGCAGAGGACTCACTGAAGCAAATATTTGCTTTGCAAGAGTGCTTGATCATGTAGGTCAGTGGTTCCCAGCCTGTGGGTCCCCAGATGTTTTGGCCTTCAACTCCCAGAAATCCTAAGAGCTGGTAAACTGGCTTCGAATTCTGGAAGTTATAGGCCAAAACACCTGGGGACCCACAGGTTAAGAAACACTGATGTAGGTGAATGTTTGAATGAACTGTGCTCCTTGCTAATTTGCATGAATGAGTAGATGCTAACTGTGTTTTCTGTCTTGGATATCAAAATATTGTGAGCAGGACCTGCAGGACTCTTACATAGGAAGCAGTTGTCATACCTTCGCCCCACTGTTTCTACCAGCCTGCTGTGCTGCTGCTACTCTCACACAGAAAAAAACAACAGTGTTTCCTGTCCCATTAGGATACAAGAAGCTGCTGAGTGACCTGAACTCCAATTTGGTGACATCAGGCGACTCCTTCTATGTTCGGTCCAACCTTTGCCTTGAGAGACAGGCAATTGGGGAGCTTCCAGTTGGATGTCATGACATTCTGCATGTTACAGATACAATGTGTTGGGGCAAAGCCCAGTGGAAAGCCTGCCACGTGAACCCCTACACCATAAAGGACTTGGATGCAGGCACTATTCCCAACTACTGCCAGTGAGTATCTCCACTGGTTTGGGCTAGGAGATAATACATAATACACTCTTGCCTATCAGAAATGTCCATATTGTCTACCAGCTCACAAGTAGGGCCCATGACTGCCACCATCTGTCCAATACATTCCTATCTCATTGTCTCTGTTGCAGGGCCCAGAAGCAACTTATCATTCAGATACAGGAGTTGGCCCAGAAGAGTATGATTTCGCGCAAGGTACTGTAATTAAGGGCATTCTGTGATGTATCATGGGAAAGAAATTTGTCTGTCCTACATTAGCTCAACTCAGTTATTCTGACTGACCACATCGCTGCAAGCCATGGAGTTACCTTGCAGCACAACGCTCTTTAGATTCCTCTGTCTCATGGCTTGCAGTGATGACGTATTGTCAGTAAAGTTTAGAAGCATTCATTTAGACTTTAGACGGCAAGGTTTTCTCACTGCTGTTTTTTTGTAAATGCAACTGCAAAATACAGAGATAGGGAAATAGACATACAGAAGGAAATTTCTTCTGGCTGGTACTATGTTGACAGGCATCAGAAAAACCAGAAATGGTTACATGAAATGAAGACTTATTTTTGCGATCAGCTGGGTTTGAATGACACAGTTCATGAGATATTAAATACTGCCCAATGTTATAAGTCTATGTGTTCCAGGATTGATTTGACCTCTTCCTTTCTGATTTGTAGAATTCTGGGGTGCAGCCCAAGATGGTTCGTATTGTGAGTACAGACAACAATAAGATCAATCCACTCTGGTCATCCATGGATTGTGGTCTCTCAGATTCTAACAGGTCAAATTGTGAGTTTAAGCACACGCAACATGATTTGTGATTCTAAAGACAGTGTGGTTCCTTCCCTGCCTTGACCCTACAATTTTCAGCACTCTTATCTGTACATTCTTCTAAACTGCTTTGCTTCTTGTCTAGCTACAACTGCATTCCTGTGTCTGCTATAAACCAACCACCCAGAATGGATTTGCACAGTACAATTCCCTTTAAGACTAGACAGGAATACTAGTATGCTCTTTTCCCATTTATGTATCTACAAAACATGAAAGAAATGAGAAGGTTAGTATCAGATAGATTGAAGCAACCACAAATAATACATAGGTTATTGCCTTCTTCTCACAGTTTGTTGTTGCTTTCAAGTGACAGTTGGCTTATTCATATTCTAAGCCATGTGGACAAAACAATGCCATAACATTTTTGACAATTTACTGCAGCCTTCTGTTCAAAGCTAGAGCAGCATCTGCCCTAAGCACTCTTCTGAGGAAAATCTGAAATAGCAGGAGTTTTCTTTGTTTTTCCTTCTAAAACTGAGGTGACAATGAGATTTTCTGTGAGTCAAAAGGTAGGAGGATGCAACTGCCTCCTCAGTTCTGCAACAACCCACATTCCAGGCTCATTTTTGTTTTTGTTTGTATTCTTGTGCGTGTTTGCTATGAATCTAGATATTTATAGTTGTGACAGTTACTGAAGAATCCTAAGGAAAATTTGTGTGGAAGACCTGAAGTGAAACCGTGGACTGAAAGGCCAAGCAGCAGCTGAATATTCTTCAGCCTTCTTCCTGGCACCGTTGACCTTTCTTTCCTTTTTTCTTCTGTTCTAGTGAACTCCCGAATCAGCCTCCACTCGAGGAGTTGTGTCAGTTTGATGCCATACACCTTGGTCAAGCCCTGCAGACCTGGGCGACCACGTCCAGTCTTCATGGTGCCTGTGCTTTTGGGAAAGATTTTGGCTGACAAACTATGCCTGTCCAAGAGATTTGAGAAATGCCCAGTAGGTATGTCTTGGCTAAGATTGATTCTATTGTTGGGTGAACATAATTATTTTTTAAAAAATCAAATAGATTGTTTATAAGCCATGGACCAAACAAATCTTCTGGGTTTTAATGGTCTTTGGTTTGGGATTTGTTGAAAGGAAGAGACAAATTGAAGATTTCGCTAAGCTGATACATCAGACAAGTTTGGTCCTCTTGAAAGCATTACCAGTTACTGGTGTAACCGCTGCTTTGTTCTCAAACACTGTCCACTTTTTCTTGACATTGGCAGTACATTTTCTCATTCTCTTTTCAAGTTATCCCAAGTGATATTAATGAAATCTAAAAAGCCAAGCAATCATGGTGCAGATTACTCCAGAACAGTTTGGAGCTTGACCCAGTTCCTTCCTACCTCTGCAGATTCCCAGAATGAAGCACAAAGTCGAGTTCCCCTCACTGAAGGAAGAGAGACAAACAACAGTTGTTGTGTTCCCTGTCAGACAATAGAGAGCCTAATGCAAAAGGTAATAGGGAGATATTGCAATGGGATGTAGATTCAGTGATCTCTTTTACTAGATTTTTAGCTGCTCACACAGGACTAGAGCTACAAATATTAATCAGTGTTGAATATGGCATTCTCATCCTGATCACCTTTAGAATGTGCACGGCTGGCTGGACCTGGACCTGGAAAGAGTACAAGACCTTCTGGCTATGGAAATCTATCCCATCATTATTTTGCTGACCATCAATGAGAAGAACAGCAAGAAATTTCGGTGAGTGTTGCTGCTCTGGGTGAATATCTGTGCCATAATCATGTTATTTAATTATGATATCCCCAGAACAGTCTCATAGCATATGGACAAACAGGGGACAAATGGGGCAGGAAATGGGAAGTTGACATTAGCTGGCCATAAATACCAATGGCTTTGATGTGTGGGAAAAAGGAGACATCACAGGTTTTGGGTGATTTACATATGATGGGTGTGAGCCCCATATATACTTATGGCAGGGTAGGATTGATCTATTGCTCTGATGTGTGGTAAAGAAGAGACATCCACAGTTTTCTGTGATTTACAACATTATAAGTTAAACCCTATATATATGGGTCGTACAGCATGATTCATGTATTCCAAACACTAAAGATATTTGGTATACTCAAGCTCTAGTGCACCTTGGAGGATTCCTTTCAAGATAAGTGTAACTTTATAGCCATACAGCCAATGCACAAAAGGGACCTCACAGTCTGTTTTCTGGGTTGCTGTGAGTTTTCTTCTGAGGATGCCTGCCATAGATGTAGGTGAAACGTCAGGAGAGAATGCTTCTGGAACATGGACATACAGCCCGGAAAACTCACAGCAACCTAGTGATTCTGGCCATGAAAGCCTTTGACAACAGTCTGTTGTCTGTTCTGCAGAAGGCAAATGACAAGAGTATTCTCATCTCCTACTGGTATCATACACTTAGAAACAGTCTCCCTCCAAACCTGCAGCTGAAGGCGACAATGGATAAGTGGGGTACATCACCTTTTGGCTGCCACCAGCAACCCCTCAGCATAGTGTAAATATCCACACTTTGAAATGTATTACATAGGCACTACGTAACACACATGGTGAATAGCGACATTGTGCAACACATGTCAATGACATGATGCCATAGTGGTATACACGGAGGAACATGCTGTCTGTACAAGTCTGCTTCCACTTCTACCAGAGGAATATATCCATTGTGGAATGGTGGCTTTTCAGCCTCACATATGTAATGTGATTTATGCATGTGAATGTCCCTAATTTATCAGCTTAGCATCAATCAATTATTTATCTTCAAAGGAGTCCTAAGTTTGCAAAACCTGTTGATGAGTGGTGCTTGCGGAGGCCTCTGATTTACAGGGTCACCCTAAGTCAAAACAGACTTGATAGCAAATTACAAATAGTCACATCAATTTTCCCATTTACTTCTATTCACAAAGATCTGTTTTTGACAATACTTTCTCTTATAGCCACCATTTAAAATCTCCCTCATAGAACTAAAAGGTAAAGTTTTCCCCTTGACATTCAGTCTAGTCATGTCCGATTCAGGGGTGGGGTGGTGTTAATCTCCATTTCTAAGCCGAAGAGCCAACGTTGTCCGTAGACACCTCCAAGATCACATGGCCAGTATGATTGCAGGGAGCACCATCACCTTCCTGCAGAAGTGGTACCTATTGATCTACTCACATTTGCATGTTTTTGAAGTGCTAGTTTCACAGAAGCTGGGGCTAACAGTGGGAGCTCACCCTGCTCTCCAGATTTGAACCACTGACCTTTCAGTCAGCAAGTTCAGCAGTTCGGTTTAAGCCACAGTGCCACTGGGGGCTCCATTATACAACTAGATTGTGCAAATGTTCTAGTGGGACAACTAGAACCTCATGTCCTATTGAACATAAAATGGGGTTACGGAAGCATTAGCTTACTAACATTCTGCTGTGCATTTCAGGAAAGCTCTTCAACGACTTGGAACAACTGAGGAGCAGCTTTTGGAAAGTGCCCGGAAAGAGGAAGCTCAGCTGGAGACACTGTCTTGCCTGTATGGTACTATTGCCCCTGATGCCTGGAACGATTTGGAGACACTTGCCAGTTGTGTTCGTGCAGCCATTGCTGATGAGCAGAAGAAGGTGGTGTGGGTGGAACAACTGCCCCACCGACCCCCTTTGGAAGTGAACAGACATGTGTGATCCATCTTTATGTGTCTTGAACTAATCTCAAGAGGAACAGAGACATTTCTAATTGTCATAAGGGTGAAAAGTTATAGAGCAGTTTACTTAGCCAGTGTTCAGATGTTTGGAACTTGACTATGCCATTCCAGTGCTACTTTGCTTTATTGTCTCCATCCCAACCTTTGACCACCCAGGAGTTAAATAATTGTTGAATACATGTACTAAATGCTTCCCATGTAACCATATATAGGTGGGAAGTTCAGGTACATGGAGCTTACACTTTGTTTGGATTTTAAATCAAGAATGCACATCCTATATCTTCTATGAGATACAGGATGCGCATACCTGACTTGCTTTTTCAGTTCAAGTCATCACGTGACTTGGTAGGCAAGATCTACTATAGCAATTGCCTAGTTATATACTCATGCCTACCAAGTTACATGATAGAGAAAATGAGACTAGTAAACAATAGCTGCTCTTGGAGGAGTCATCAGGAAATGGGAGTTTGATTTTGTTTTTTTGTCTTGCCAAGCATTTTGTACTACCACTATCTATCACTGTTTGCCATGCTTGTCCTTTGAGGTTTTAGGCCCCCAAAATGCCCATGCACTTTGAGGTACAGTTAAAGGTACAAGTTTGAATGAGGAAAAGCTGATGGGTGATGTTGCTCCATCTTCCATGCTGAGGAGCTTTGTTTTCCGTAGACAACCTCCATATCGTTGGCATGTCCTTATGAGCGCCTTTTTAATTACCTCTCCATTTTTAAAGCAGTACCTATTTATCTACTCACATTGCTGTTTTCGGTCTGCTAAGTGGGCTGAAGCTGGACTGATGGCTGGGAACTCACCTTGACCTGGGCTTGAACTGTCAACCTTTCGATTAGCAATATTTTCTTCAGCTGGTGGTTAACCTGCTGTGCTAAAGCCCAGCCATTGTGGTGACCTTGGGCTAGTAACACTTTCTCAGCCTCAGAGAGAAGCAAAGGCAAATCTCCTGTGACCAAAATAAAACCCTGTGATAGGTTCACTTTAAGACCACAACTTGAAAATGAATCGAAGACACACGTGTGAGACTTCCAAAAGCTCCAGTATTTAACTGTGTTGCTCAGATTTTGCAAACTCAGTCAGTGCATTTTCCCTATTTTCCTTCAGCCTTCCACTTTCCAATGTGTCATCATCTCATAATATATTCAAGATATGTCAGCCTCAGTTTAATCACAATTGCTTTTTGTTGAGATCAGGTCTGATTTTCTCTAACATCAGTTTATTTATCATTTTCACAATCCATGGAATTGGTAGAACTCTTCCAGGATCATGTTTTGAATGAGTTCATTTTTCTTCCTAATGGCATTCTTCACTGTCCTGCTTTCATAATCATATATTGAAATCATCTTGTGGCTTGTAACCATTTACATCTCATTTAGTGTAACATAGATAAGTGTGAGGCTGTAAGTTCACACACATTATAGGTAATGGAAAGGTAAAGGTTTCCCCTTGTCGTTAAGTCTAGTTGTGTCCAACTCTGGGAGGGAGTGCTCATCTCCATTTCTAAGCCAAAGAGCCGAAGTTGTACGCAGATGCCTAATGGTCATGTGAATAAATCCCACGACTCAGGCTTACATCCCAGTAAATATGTAAAGAATTGCACTAAAACCTCAAGCATGAATTACATTTTATAATAATGTACCTTCTCTTTGCCATGCAGTCCAGCCCGTGTAAGTAACCATATGATTCTTCCTTCATTGTATTTGGTATCCTAGGACCTTCTCATTAATATAAATCAGATGTGACATCCAAAGCTTGTACATACTGTTCTCTAGCTCATTCTTTCTCTTTTGGTTTCCTTCCACTTCCCTTGTCTTTCATTAATTCATTTTAATGTAAAGCATATAAAAACAATCTGGGTTTTTTTTTTGTAAAGAGCCCATTGATAGATGGCTCTTTTTAATTTCAATGTGGTAAATGAATTACGATTCACAAACCATTCATCCGTACTGCCTCCTACTAGCATGTACAGTGGTGCCCCCAAAATAAATCTCTGAAGGAATTTCCAGCTTTCCCAAGCAGACATGTGAAAAGCTAGGAGGAAAGAGGTCTCGTGTGATCTATTTCCTGTTCTTGCTTTTAGGAGATGCAAGAGGGCCTGTCAATTCAGTAAAACAGCCAGTTCACCAAAACCAGACAAACCAAGACCAGCACAAATATCATTTCTTTACCTCTTTATTTTTTTCAAAAATATTAGCTATGCTTTTTTTTCTGTGTCAGGAGCAACTTGAGAAACTGAAGTCACTTCTGGTGTGAGAGAATTGGCTGTCTGCAAGGACATTGCCCAGGGGACGCCTGGATGTTTTGATGTTTTACCATCCTTGTGGGAGACTTCTCTCATGTCCCCGTATGGGGAGCCAGAGCTGATAGAGGGAGCTCATCCATGCTGTCCCCGGATTCTAACCTCCAATCTGTCAGTTTTCAATCCCGCCGGTACAAGGGTTTAAGCCATTAGGCCACCGGGGACTCCATTAGCTATGCTGAAAGTTACACATTAAAAAAAGTCTGTTCCATCTGGCTGTTTCCAACATGTCAAATTGTTTTATAAACATATACTACAAACACACGGGTGCTTGTTTTTAGATCTGCCTTCTCCTAGCATGCAAGGTTCTGACCACAGTCTGGATGGGACCAGCCCACCTCTGTTCGTGTTGTCGCACACCTTGGCATGGCATTGGTCACACCAGCTACTGAATCATCTATTAGGCACGTGGGGATATTCTTTGGGTCTCAAACATTGTAGAAAGGGTACTGACTAAGATTGTGTCTGCACATGTCATAATTAAAATGCTGACAGGCCTGATTCCACCTGCTGTGGGTAGCAATCACACTTCTGCATTTGACTCTGGCCCTTCCTCCACTTTCAAACCCAACAAAATTTCAACTCTGGAAACTGCAGCATTTGCAAGTTTCATCCAAGTTCTGTTGGCTTACACAGATCTTTTCCTGTTGTTTCTCATCTAAATGAGGAAGTTGACAGGCACAATTAAGAGGAAGGAAGAAGAAAATCACAGCTCATTATGGAGCGGGCGACACTGGGGGCTGGGCTTATCCTCTAGGACTCCATCAGGCACACAGACCCAGGGATCATCTGTTTCCCACTGCCATTTCAGCAGCAGCCCTCGGAGCTCCTCAACAACCTGTGCGTAGCGAGGGTCAGAAGCCACATTGTGGCTCTCGGTGGGGTCCACACTGTGATCATACAGCTCCCAGCGTTCCCGGTAGTAGTAGCTATGCAGGGTCTTGTTCCAATGAGTAGGCTGCCCTGCCTGTGTCCTGTTCAGCAGGTCTTGGAAAGTGGGTGAAACATAGAAGTCTTGGTCGATGGGGAAGGGAGTGCGGTTCTGCAGGTTGTGAATGAAGCGCAGGGGCCCCTGCTGCACAGCCCGCATGGGATAGTGCATGGTCACCTCGTGAAGGCTCTGACTTGCAAACACAGTTGCCCACACTGGCTCAGAAGATAGCGCTGGCAACAGGGACTTCCCAGTGAGTTGCACTAGCCGCTTCCCAAATAAGCTGTAGCTGGGATATGGCACTGAGAACCAGTCCAGAATGGTGGGGGTGACATCTATAGAGAGAGGGGAAAAGAAACCCATCAGTGGTGGGACGCCAGAGGCTGGTAACAGGGCTGTAATCTTGGATACGGTCATGACCATTTAGTACCCAAGATGGATGCTCCTAAGTCTTGGAGAAAGTTTGCTGCTCCTGCTACAAATACTGAACTTCAAGTTCTTTACCTGGAAACTAATCTTCTCATTCGGTTATAGATTGTTTAGGAGCCAGTTCTAACCTTAATTCAATATATTGTACTTTGCCATTAGGCAATAAAATCCCAGTACTAGTAAGGGTCATAAAGTCATCACATCACAATTTGGCAAGTGAAGGGCTAATCTTAGTGTTGCTATAAATTTGAAAATAACTTGAAGTCACCCAACAACAATAATTTATACTGACTTTGTCCACAAGTTATTTCAATCTCCTGCCATTCATGTGAGACAGGAGGAAAAAAACAACAAGAGAAGATGGCATTTTTGTTACTTTATATACTCGAGTGTAAGACAAGTTTTCCAGCCCTTTTTAAGGCTGAAAAAGCCCCCCATAGCTTATACTCAAAGTTATTTATTATTTTACTGTTATTGTTGTTGTTATTATTATTACATTTATTGCTTTATTATTATTATTACATTGACATTTTACTATATTATTATTTTTATTACATTTATTACTTTACTCTATTTTACTATTACATTTATTATTTTACTCTATTATTACTGTTATTATTACATTTCCATTACTTTATTATTATTTTTAATCCATTTATTATTTTACCCTATTTATTATTATTGGAAGAATATGCAATCACATTTACATTGAAGGTTACAGTAATGGTTTAATCAGAGTTGGACAGCCTTATCTTAAATTACAGTTTTATATAAATATTAAAAAACATTTAACCTACTGATATCTCAATTAAGCAATTTTACTGGTATCTATTTTTTTAAATTTACCCTCAGCTTATACCCCAGTCAATACATTTTCCCAGTTTTTTGTGGTAAAATTATGGTAGGCACCTCGGCTTATATTCAGGTTGGCTTATACTTGAGTATATATGGTATATAAAAAATCTGGTTTTTCAAGTCAGTATTGAACTAATATGAGTCAGAATGGGAGAACAGACACTGACTTTTCTTTTATTCTGAAAATAAGATCTGAAGATATCCTAGAACGGGAAAACTATTAACCAAAGTTGTTTCCACTACTTGTAATACCCCTCCCCACTAAATACACAACTACGGTAATCTCTAGGCAGATCTTACCCAACAAGCTAGCATAGGCATTGCTGACTTGGCCCCAGCGCCCTGGATGCTCTGGCGAGGAGACAAGGAGAGGTTCAGCCGTACCAGACCAATACAAGTTAGTTCTGCCACTGGGGAAGGGAATACCGTTGTCTGAAGTGTAGATGACAAGTGTGTCGTTGTGGAAGCCAGCATTACGTAGTTCCTCCAGAATAAGCCCAATGCCTGCACATCCCACAGAAAAAGAATTAAATGGTTGCCGCACAGAAGTATCCAGCAGCAATGTTCATCTCATTTGTACCCTGCTCTTCTGTGTGCTTCTGTGTTATCTAGTCTTGCTAACAACAAGCACTTCAGATAATGAAGCCTTCATGGAGATATAGATCTGTGTAAACATTTGTTGCCTTATTTTTAGGCTTGAGAAATGAATTAGTACTCTGCTTTTTACATCTAAAAACCATATAGAAAAAAACACATGAGTGTCAAGATTTCTTGAAATCTCAGAACCATTTCAAGTAATATTTGTGTGCTAGTGATATACAATATTCTGCTTTACTGAAGAGAACTCACAGAATTTCTCTCCAAACAGAATGGCAGCCTTGAATTCTTAAAAGAGATTGGGTTATGGGCTAAATGTGAAAAAAGCACTATAAAACACCCCAAGAATTTCACTCCACCTCAAAAACAAGGCAATTCCACACCTTCTGGTTGGCAGTAGCTGTGTATCTCAAGGATGGGTAATCTTTGGATCACAGTGATTCCTCATCTGATTCTTCTGACCTGTCACCTTTTATATAACATTGACTTTGGAGAGGCACTTAATTATTGGATCAGTTACCAAGAGAAGAGTTGGGTCCTCTGCAGTGCTTATCTGGGAATCCCAGCTTTATTATTTTATTTTTTTTGGTCGTGTCAGGAGCAACCGCTCCTGTTGTGAGAGAATTGGCTGTCTGCAAGGACGTTGCCCAGGGGACGCCTGGATGATTTCTGATGTTTTATCATCCTTGTGGGAGGCTTCTCTCATGTCCCCGCATGAGGAGCTGGAGCTGATAGAGGGAGCTCATCCGCCTCTCCCCGGATTCGAACCTGCGACCTGTTGGTCTTCAGTCCTGCCGGCACAGTGCTTTAACCCACTGCGCCACCGGGGGCTCCTCCAGCTTTAGTAACATGATGTAACACAATTTTTGTCCCTTGGTTATAAATGTCATTTGCTAATTGGTTCTATCATAAAAACATAGAAAAAGTTTATTAAACTGCTTTTGTGGGACATCCTGCAGCACATTTTTGTTATAGTTTTCCAATGAATATTTCACAGAGTCTCAACCAATTCAACATAGGTTGTGGCAGCCACAAAAATGAAGT